CTTAATCTACTTGCAATTCTAATTTTTTTAATTATCTTAAGTTAATTTACATGTTCATCTTTACAAATCGTACCCGTCGTTGCCTTTACCTAAGTGCCCAGGGCTGAGCAAAGACCTCTTCTCACTCCAACAAGGTTTATCTTCAAAATCTTCATATTAAAATCATCTGAAGATGTAGTAGCTAGATTAATGAGCCATCGTCATCTGGGAGGGATGAAACAAATTAACTTGAAAAGTAATTTCAGCTTCCCTTAGCTTTGATACACCTGTTGAATCATTTTGATAACGTAGGACGTTTATTAATCAGCCGAGATTGCGGGTGCAATTAATGTCTCGCGGCCCCGACCCGAAGAAGGAGAAAGAAGGAGAAGGAACGGGGCCGTTTTTAGTCAGTAAGAGTCTGATACTCTCTCTCACCCTACGCAGGATGGAAGAAGGCATTTGATCATTTTCTCTCCTCAAAAACAATGACCTTATTATTAAAAGATACCTACGTTGTTAATTATAGAGGTATCAGATTTGTAGCACTGACTGGAAACTTTAGATGACAGATCTTACTTAATTCACAATCAAACACATTCGCACCTATTCTTCTTCTATTTAGTCCCGAATTACCACGACTAAAAGTTTAAGACAACGGAGAATTTACAAATAAATTGTTTTAGAAATAGTGACGTCATGAGGAATTGTAAGTAGTTTCGTTAGCTTAGATTTTAAGCTATTAACTATTGACCAAATGTTATTACTCAAATGATTGTTTAAACGAAATTGAATGAATAATAATAATTATGATTGTAATGACCCACTTACATTTCACATTCACGATTATGTAGCAAATTTATTAATTTTATAATTTGTAATACCTATGTTCTTAAGATTCGGGTCTACCTATTTTGTGTTTCTCTTTTGTATTAATTAATTTATAATTTGCACGGCACCGTAAGGTAAATTGTAATGGATCTCTTATGATTCTCTACCTACATTCTTGGCAAATAAAGATTCTTGATTCTAAATAAAACTTAAGGTAAAATAAGTTTTACTTTGTTACGAATCGAATTTCGAGTTACGAATCGAGAGAGGTTCCCCGGTTCGATTCCAAATAAGTAAGAGTTATAACTCGTGGTGGCCCGGAGGTTAAAGAGCCCGCTTCTCATGCATGAGGGTGTTTTTTTTTTTTTTTTTTTTTTTTTTTTTTTTTTTTTTTTTTTTTTTTGGGAGGGGAAAATCATCAAATGACTTCTCCCGCCCAGGGCCGGGCAGGAGGGAGTGTCAGACTCTTACTGACTAAAAACCCCCCTGTTCCTTCTCCTGCTCTGTGCCGAGGTCGCGGTACCTCATTGCGCTTACCCCGCAACCCCGGCTGAACATCAGCCCTTTAGGGCCCCGTCTGTGGTGGTCTATTGGCTCTTTGAGGCGCGCGCGGAACGCTACGCGCCGTACGCTCGGGCCTGGTTCTGGTCGGGCGGCGAGCTGCCCTTACTCGCCGACCGCAGGCCCGTACTTACGGTGGCCGGAGATCGTCCCTCGATCCCCGACGCCCGCAGTGTCGCCAGTTGCGGCTGCTGGGGCGTGAGGAGGAGGATTGCTCCCTCACGCGGGCCGCCTCTCTCTTTGCGAGCATGACTGCTTCACAAAAGGAGGAGACGGCGTCCCAGTTCCTCTCACTCCGCACCATGGCCTCGACTAAGGCCGGGCGCGAGAGGTCGCCGCCGCCGATCACTTCCCTGAGGATACGGCGGTGCTCAGCCCAGGCAGGGCATACCGCTACCGTATGCTCCACCGTATCCTCTAGGTGGTCCTCACAATGACGACACTCGGGCGTTTCCTCCCGCTGAATCCGAAACAGGAACCTACCGAAGCTGCCGTGCCCGGTAAGCACCTGCGTCAGACGGAAGGTGAGGGCGCCGTGGCGTCTCTCAAGCCACTCCTCAAAGAGGGGTCTTACCGCTGCTATGGTAGCGTGCCCGGCCCTCGGTTGCGACAGTCGTTGTCTCCACTCTGCCGTGAGATCTCGCCGAAGCTCATTCCGCCACGCACTTATTTGGCGCGGCAGAGGATCTTCGCCCCGGCGACGCGCGTCTGCGCGCAAACTGTAGACGCGCGCGAGCGCCTTCGCTTCTAGATCCCACGGCGGTGATCCGGCAAGGAGGTTCGCCGCCTCCCCGGAGATCGTGCGATACCCGCGGATTACTCGTATAGCCATGACCCTCTGGGACGCGACCAGCGTACGAGCCGGCCGCCGCTTCAAGTCCGGCGCCCACACAGGGGCACCGTAGAGGGCCGGGTTCGAAACCTGGCAAGTACCAATGTGACTTTTTCCGAGTTATATGTACTTTCTATGATTATTTAGACACCACTGACATACGGTGAAGGAAAACACCGTGAGGAAACCTGGACTTATAATTTCTAATTATAGGTTTGAAATCGCCAACCCGCATTGAGCAAGCTTGGTGATTAATGCTCTAACCTTCTCCGTATGAGAAGAGGCCTTTGCTCAGCAGTGGGCACTTATAGGCTGATGATGATGACGATGATGAAGAGTTAACTGTGCGGCTGTGGTTAACTAAGCCATGCACCAGCACGAATAGGCTGGCTCGACCGAAATGATATCACGACCTCACAAAGAAATCGACGTGAAAAACCTTACGTTGCGGAAGCTAAGTTAACGGAGGCCAAATCGTTCCCTCCCCCAACTCCCTTAGCCCGTTGAATTTCGGTATTTAAGGCACAATAAAAAATAGATAGGCTCGCATAGATCCACTTCTAAAACACATAAAAGGATAATCCTCAAATTTCTAATTCCTACTACTCGCATGTACGTGGACGCCACCGATTGCAATATCAATCAAAAAATAAGTTATAGACGTTATAGAAACCACACAATAATTCGAAATCTAGGTTTTTCTGGGGTGGTGCGTGTTAAAATTGTAATAAATAAAACAAAATTCCACTTACATACTCTTTTATTAAATAAATTACACGTTTGAGTGTATAAAATACAGAACAATATTGGCATTTAGGCGTCAAGAAACGTTGTCAAACAACACTATAGGCACGTAGAGAGGTCGAAAGCACCAATACCCACAAGCATTTACTTTTATTACATTTGAAACTTTATGTACTTAATATAGAGTTTAATTTTAAAAGCTATTCAAATATCGGAGCGTCGGCTGCCTATTAAAGTGTACAATATTATAAAATACAAATAGTATTAGTTGTTTAGGATTCTCGTAATTTCGACGCACTAGCCTCGCTAATTGAACTGATTTGAAATTTTAAAAATAATAATCTAGCAGATTAAAAGAAAAAAAAAAGTATACAATAAAATATAAACAATTCTGTTGTTATCATAAATTTTGATTGCCCTAATATTGTATTTTCTTATTCTTGCTTTATTGACATTTCAAAACCAATTAGGTGTTGTTAAATATTTTGATACTTGGCCATAACTGTTATCGAAATATCAAAATCGAAAGTTTTTTTAGAATATTGTTGTACCACATTGTGTTGCGACGTCGTTTATTAAGTTGGAAAAGAATGTAAAGTAAGTAAGTATATCGTAAAAACAATTATTTTCTTTATTATATACCAAGTAATATTTTCAAATATTTTGTGGCTGATAGTGGTTATAGCTTATATAGGTAGATAATTTGTTTAGGATTAAGCGCGTGCGCAGGTTTCGTCGGTAGTGGTGGGAAAATTCGTAATATTTTAACTTATTATTAATTCTTTGTAAAATATGTTTAATTTGTATTTCTTAATTATTATTTTTTGTATAAGGCGCTGAAGAGGAACTTTTGCTTAATTAGTGACATTAATAATATTTTAGGCATTTTAATTTATTTTTACGTTTAGGTAATATAATTTTTAATGGTAAAAAAATGAATAGAAAAAAATTGATGTAAAATTCAAGCCTGTCTTTTAATTTTATTATCTTCAACTTAAATGCAGACAAACAATTAATTAATATAATAAATAACGAAATATTTAAACCTAAAATTTGAACAGATTTGTAAAAAAATTAAAATTACTTTTACTTAAAGAACGTATGGAATTCAATATGATATTTTCAAACAATACCTATATAACAAACTATAAAAAATATGTTTCTTTATTATTTCAAAGTAGGTAATGCTTAGTATATTATTATAGAAAAATGACGGCATGAAGAAAGAGACAGAACTATACAAAGCATAGCAATCTAGTTACCACTTATAACATACATGCTGCATAATTTAGCAAAAATGGGGCGTTTCTGAACACTATTCGAGGTACATTACATTTCTTTAGGCACAATATATTTTATTATAATAATTCAATAAAAAGATAAAGATAAAATAATAAGAATAATTCAATAAAATAATAAAGAGTTCAAATATGAATAAAAATAAAATGTTTAAATAACACCAATCATTATGATAAGAGTAATAATTGGTATCGTAAACTTTTTGTACAATGACAGAGATTTTCGTTCAGATCACGAGGACGAATAAGGTTTAAATTTTTATTTTATATTAAATAAGTTTTAATAATTTCAATGTTTTATGAGCAAGAAAATAATAAAATTTGTATGTAAACAGTTTAACTATACTAAATTAAAACTAACAAAAATAACAGCTTATTTTTTATAAGGCGTTGTTCCTAGTTTGTTTTTAATTGCAATATATAATTTATACTTTATTTTCATAAGATCGTTTTATTTGAGATTACAAAGTCCTTAAAATCCATTTTCCGAAGTATTTATAGATCAAAAATAATATAATCATATCCAAAATCAATAACGGACGTTTAGTAATAAGAACACGCGTTAGATGTCGCTATTCTAGGTTGATACAACGCCATCTATTTTTTATAATCTAAAACATTTGCAGATAAATATTTACTTTTATTCGTTTATTTAAGATCGTTGCACGCTATCGTACAATAGTATTTATATGCCATACGTAATGTAAAGTTTTATAATAGACTCGAATATAAGGCCTACGAAATTTTAAAACTTCAAATGTACATCGACCTTAAACAGACCAATATAGCGTTGAGAATTAACTGTACGTATTAAAAAAAGTATAGAAATCTTACTCCTATTAATAATAACGTTGAGATACTTCAGACAAACTTAAAATTAACATGAATTACATCAATTACCACTGACATTTAAAGAGTAATAGTAAATTAATTATGAAATGTTGATGTACTTGGAAGCTGATGGTGGACATCAAGCGCTTGGGTTTAGTAAAGGCCGAGGAGTGCTAACAGACACTTCTTGTAGTGACCGGAGCAGTCACCCTGAAAAAAAGGAAATGACATTATTATTGAGTTTAGTCTTGTTCTAGGGTTCACGGTTGGCGAAGTAGATGGGCAAATGGCAAATTTTTTATGTGATAAGTCTAATCACAAGCAATCAGCGCCGCCCATGGATTTGGGATTAGGGATCATCTTTTTGGGATTAGGGATTTGGAGATTTTGGGAATAAGGAGGGATTAGGTGAGTTAAAGTATGGGGCCTCCGCGACTACTGCGCTATGTATCGAAGTTTCATTTTCCTTCACGGAACATCTCTATTTGTGGAACGTATATGTTAGTTTATATGATCCACAGATTGAATTTTTAATATTTTACTGTACATATTGTAACAGTTAATTAATTTACCTAGGAAACCCTATAAAAAAACTTTAATATACATTTATTATGAGACTGGGCTAAAAAGGAACAAACGCATGTCACTTATTGACACTAGCAACACCAGGCACAAAGTTGCTAGCATTTAAATGGGAGGAAACTAAAGTCTTTAAGAAAAAAAATCATACCTCAATCCAGCTCTGCAAAGTCTCTCCGTATTTAGCCTGGAAGGCATCCGATATGTCACCAAGGTCGATCTCGCTTCGTGTGACCATGATACGGATGAGCTGGCGATCGTTAGTGCCCAGACCCTTCATCGACTTGTGCAGACGTTCCGCGAAGAACATTGGCTTGTTGCGGACGCTTTTTACTGGAAAGTATAAAAAAATATTTAGTGAAAGGCGTAGTACAATATGGTTTATCTATTTTTTTTTTTTTTTTTGATAAATTGTATTCAGCGATATTATCGTCATATACAGGCCACATTCTTACTTATTTAAGTAAATAGTATTTACTGAAAATATTGAAATTGAAGAACTCAGTACCTTTTAGTGAAATAAAGGTAGATTTTGTGCCCGAATAAATGTAAAATTCTATTGCTTTTTTAAATTAACAACACTTGCCTAAGCTTTTAACAAATGTCTCACTGTTATTTGTACTGGACGTGGTTTATTTCGCATTTAAGTATACGATATAATTATCTCTTTTCTATCTTGGTGATTTTACTTTTCTTCTTTTTTATAATAGGTCTATAGGTACCTATGAAATTGCCGTTTTGCATGAAAAAAATTAAACGAATTTTTTTATTTGAAATTCGATGAAAATGTAAATCTAATCAATAAACAAATGACTACTTTTGGAAAAAGAATCCCATGTTTTTAAAACAAAACTAATTAGCCTTATTCTAACAAAAACTATTTTGATTTGAAATGGCCAGTACTGCAGAAGGTCAATTTCATAGGTAAAGACCTATTATTTGTCCCAAAAAAAATTAATAATGTACGTATAATCGATTCGACAAAATAATAATTCATAGCATCATATCAATATTTTTCATATCAATAAGTATGTAGCTGAGCACTGCACTGTTCAAACATCAAGAAGTGTCGCGATATTTGCAAACATTCACTCAATAAACCACTTCATAATAAAAACTCCTTTCTACCTTTACTTTAAGTTAATATAAGTACTATACTATATAACATTACTAAATTCTTACCAATAGCCCTCAAAGCCTTCTCAAGGTCACCAGAGAACTCGGCCTTGATGGCGTCATCAATGTCATGTCCAGTCAAATACTGGTACTCTTGGAATATGGCCTTCAGCTGTGGGAAGGAACGGGAGCAGAGCACCGCGTTGAAGACCGATTCATCAGTGCCGAGACGCAGTTCACCTGGAAAAATATATAAGAACATTTAAAAATTTCTATTTTTTTTTTAAAATGTACTCTCAGAAATGTTGAAAAATTTGCAATCAAATTAGTACATTTAAAGTGAGATATACTTTTTAATCTGATGAGTCTTTTTTGAGGTGGTTAAATCGTCAAATTCATGACTTCTCTCGCCTAGAAAGGGCAAGAGTCTATCTTACTGACTAAAAACTGTCCCTTCTTTTGCTCCAGGCGGAGGTCGTGGTACCTTATGTTCAATCCAAGAGTTATAAGTGGGTTGCAGTGCTTTGTTTTGGTCAGTTACCTACTATATTATAAGTCACATGTGAACCTGAATTTCATAATTATTTTAAATTTAAGTCTTTTACAAAGGACCGGATATTATTATCCTGGCCGTGAATTTGAATCCCTTTAGCTCTTTAGATGCGTGACAAACTCCACCAAAGTATGTCATGATCAAATCATTAAATCCAGTTCAATCATTCAATTAAATCATCAAAATCAAATTAAAACAACGAAATCACCACATGAGTAATGATTAATACACATCCCAGTATAAATTACTAGTAGTCTATCTAATTCTATCTATTCTCAGAACAAGACTCATACAGTTTCTAGACCGAATCCCTAATAGACTGTACTACGTAACTACGCATATAAACAAACAATTAAATGACGTACAAGAACACGCCACTAGCCTTTGTCAGTCATTTATTATGTGACGTCACATTTCTAGGTCAAAGCGTTGTGCAATTATGACGTCATGGCTTAATCATCGAATTCGAAGATGGAGGTGTGACGCAGGGCTTACGGAATAGGAAGGTGGGTTTTTAAAGAGCGTCACTATTGAAATAAATTGTGAGTAGGCATCAAAGGACAGCAATATAAATTAACCTCTCGTCTTGCGGTATATGAGACACAATAGAATATACAATGTGTTTGGTTAAGAAACAAGTTTGATGAGCCTTGAGACTATAAAATGGTCGGTTTTCCCGGCAAAAGACATATCAGTTGATAAATCCGGTAGAATCGAAATAATCAAATTAAATGCTTTTTAAAAAAAATATTAACTACTTTACTTTTCTATGAGTCTTGTACGTAACCTTAAATAACATAGGTACTTAATTTCGGAAAATTTGCTGGAAAAAATCTAAAAGTGTATCGTCAAATCAGATAATGAAAGTATGATTATATTATTACCTACCTATATAAAAATTAATTGTATTAAGTGAAAAGTCAAAATATATTTTATTTGTGACCCAGCAAACTATCCAATTAGTGTCTTACATTCCGTACAATAATTCTAAAGATCAAGAAGGATTTCAAGAAGATTTTCCCCTCTAATAAAAAGGGAAAAAGTATTCAGTGACGTCATCATTTTAAGTGTAGGAATGGGGCCCGAAATTATTTCGTGTGTAACTCATTGAACTTATTAAGAGTCTTACTAATACAACGCGTGTAACAACGTCAATACTGACTCATACATATTAAATATCTAAACTAGATTACTATATCATCAAGCCATGAGTCAAAAAGTTTTTTTCTCAACACAAAGGAGTCACGCATAGTATAACATAAGGTCATTGTACATGAACTAGACGATTTTGAATCATAACACGTTAAAAATATAGTAGAAAATCATTTTGTTCTGTACTATTTATAACATTCTTTTGTTATGTTGACAAGGTCAATGTCATTTTTATTGGAGTTGGGATTTTATAGAGTTATTCGTATTGGAACATGGCTTTAGAATAACACCTAACTACATAAAGATAATTCTAGAGTAAACTAAAACAGTTTGTTGTTTTGAATAAAAAAAATCAAATATGTATGTAAAAAAAATCAAATATGTATTCTATAACAGGAGTTTTTAGGAAGCCGCTAATCGCCGGAACTTACTAACGGTTTTAAATAGACCAATTTTTTATGTGTTTGATAGTCAATTTATCGAACATAATGCTACGGACCATAAGAGCCGAGCAGAAGCGGAGAGAAGCACGATGTATTAGTTATTCTATAATACACCACGTCAAACTAAATCAAACTTATTTGTCGCACAATTTTGAACCTTACTCTTAACTCAAAATGTTACATATTCGTTTAAGTATTCTGTTTATTACCGCCAGATATATTTTTAAAACTGGCCGTAAAACTTCTTATGCACAATCAACTGAAATAAATTATCTTATTAAATGATTTTCATCATATTTTTCGTTAACAGAAGGAATAGACCTATCTAATGAGCCTAATGATATGTTTTCTAGCAGCCCATTAAAAGGTTCCATCATCTACCCCTAATTTCGTAGATACTGTGTGTAAATGGCCATCTAATATTATTATGTGCAACATTGCCAAGTTTCACAACGATAAAACAATAAGAAGTGTGGGTCGACTTAATTACAGCGTGTTAAAAAGAAACCCATCTATTATATTCTATTTTACACATAAAAGAATTGCACCATTTTTCCACATTAATATGGTCGCTTATGTATCATCAAGTTAAGCCATTTTGAAGGTTATTATCACACAATACGGTGTTTATTAACTCGAGGTAAATCTTCTAAGTAGGTTCTTATATAACAGTTGATTCATAAGTAAACATGAGTTGGAAACAAGTCGAACGCACTTGAACTTTGATTAATACGAGGGCCTCTTAGCATTCATTATTTCGATGAAAGAATAAGATTCTAAATTGAACATAATGAAGGAAAATCGTTCTTTTCCATTCGAATCTACACTTTACAACGATCACCTAGCTTCACTGACGAACCGACTGACATACTATATTCTATTTTAATGGTTCTATTTTATGGTTTAATTGGAATGATATTGAATTTGACTATCAAATAACTTAAAATGAAATGGAACACAAAACAACAATAATAGCGGATAGCCGAACCGATAGCCGATCGAGTGTACTGCGGCCTCGATACGGATCCGAAGGAGAAGGAAGTTATTATTTTTTAATCAGCAAGAGTCTGGCACGACTAACATCAATTTGTATTTATTTATATACAGATTTAAAGCAGAATATATCTATTAAAGTCAAAAAAGTCAAAAGTCAAAGTCAAAAATCATTTATTCTAATTAGACCTTTACAGGCACTTTTGAACGTCAAACAAAAATTTTGAAGATATAGTGTCAGTCTGTCGGTGAGTCCTCTTAGTGACGCTATTTATTTGCTCGTTCCAAAGTGTAGATTCCGATGGAGAAGAACGAGCAAGAAACTCCTATTAACATGCTATAATATTTATACATAACTAAGATAAGGCTATAAATACCTAAGTTTTAGTTTTAAAACAGGAAATCAAAGCAGTTTGTATTTGAATTCGACTGCTGTCCGATTTGACCGCATTGTTGATTATTTGTTTAACAACACCCACTAATGTATTATCACACCTGTATAACACAAATAATAATGTCTGTATTCCCACATTTGTTTTATTTAATGGTATAAGGAAAAGACTTGTAAATGTTACACCAAACATTAACTTACAATAAATGTATAAGTGTAAACAATTGTTGGTTAACCTAAATAAATAAATAAATAAGAAGGCAAACTATCATACAGATCATCTGATGGTATCAATCAGCGCCACCTATGGACAACGGCAACTGAGTTACTAGTACATTGCCGCCCTTTTGGGGGTTATTAAGTATTTAAGGAACACGAGATCGGGAATGAAGAAAAAGGTGATGAACTAGGGAAAAAGAGGAAATGTATGTCTCTAAAACTTCACTAACACTAAAAAACAAGACAGTTCTTTATTTTTATTCGTACTTATTTAATTCGAAAGCATGTAGGTTTGTTTGTAAAGGACTATAGAACAACTTTTTACAAATATGGATGTCTCTTAGTATCAGATTTTCATATTTTTATCGACAAAGACGAAAACGAAACTCATCGGCAAGTATTTTTACGATTAGTTAAGATTAAGAATATTTTTTAATAATTAATCATAACAGTAATATACACCGCAAACGCCATTTGTTTTGAAAAAATATAATTTCTAACAACAAAAACATAGCTGACAACTCTCTTCACCTGTCCACTGCTCAATAAGACAAGCTAGAACTTTTTGTAATAGACACAGGGAAGTAACCAAACTCTTCATTACATTTTTTACCGCATTGCTTATAACATAAAATTGAAAATGCTTTAAAGAAATTACATTGTTGGTAAAGATTGATATGTTAATGCCCGTTAGCACTATCATAAAATTAACACCTATCGGAGACTTCGTACATGTCACATGTCAAATGTAGCGCGATATTATTAAGACGAATAGCCTAGTTCTTATTAGGAAGCTATAAACTTAAAAAGGTTTCATTCAAACCATTGTTTTGGTCTAGCGTCGTGGAACGACCTAAGCATTGACCTAGGTCGTGTCATTAAAGTATGTTTTGCATTATCGTGCAATTTTCTATCTTATTTCGTTGCACGTAAAGTTAATTTTTGGTTGGAATAAATAGGTATAGGTCTTATCAGTTTTTTTTTTCGTTTTAATATATAACTTATGGATTTATTAATAAGGTTCAATATCTTACCAGCTTGGAGCAAGCTCCTGGCGTCCTCCCTAGCTTTCTCCGCATCAACGTGGAAGTCCTCAGATCGGTTGCCCTGGAAACCATAGTAAAGAAAAACATTAAAAAGCCATAATTAACATAAATAATATAACAATAATTATGTCGTTTGCTACTAAAGACATTGGAAATTTGTATCTTATGCAAGTTTGAAGTGTTTATTTATTACATTGTAAGTCAAAGTCAAACTAATTTATTCCAACTTAACCATAAATAATCTGCCTGTCAGTGAAGCGAGACACTCGTTCCAAATTGTAGATCGAATGGGGAAGAGCGAGTAAGAAACTTCATTGTTACTCTTTTTTAAAATATACGTTTTATAAGTGATTAATAATGATTGAATACACTATATGTATTGTGCCCATGTGTGAGAACAATGCAGAGAAAAAGTTGTTAAAAAAACCAACGAGGGATCAATTTCTTATCATTAAATGTTAAATCCTTTATTGCCTTGAACATGTCACTCACATATGACACTCTATGAACTATAAAAAAAAATTCTTTCACAATAATTGCATGTTTAACAAACTTTCGCTAGTAATATGTTCTCAGCCTTATTTTAACAGTCACAAACCTCATGCAACAATAAAATAATTACAAGTTCATTTAAAAAAACAACTTACCATAGACAGTGACGTCATAAGTCGTTTGAAGTTTCCGGATGTGTCACCGCGCAGGTCGTCCTCAAGAAGATTTCCGTACACTGTGGAGTGAAAAAAACATTAAATGAATAATTTAATTCATGTCATAATGAATAATAATAGAACAAGTGTTTATATATTTTGTTGACAGACAAATTTAAATAAGCTCTCAGTATTATTATCATATTTTTACTAAAATTACAAATGGAAAAAGTAAAGTAAGTCTGTTTGAATTAAAGCCCTAACTCCTAAACTACTGAACCGATTATAGTGTAATTTGGTATGGAAGTACCTAGTTAGGGAACCCGCACTCCTAGCCAAATTCAGTAAATCAGAAACGATACTAATCTTTGCTCATTGCTGAGGGTCGTCGTACCCTTGTTTCGTTTGTAATGAATGCAATAACAAATATCCGTACTCAACTTGTCTAGGTAGTGCAAAGGATAGAATTTGAATTTTTATTTATCGAAATACACGCGGGGAACTCGCTCTTAAAAGTTCAGTAAACAGGAGCAAGTCAACAATTTCAAAGTTGGTATTCTTCAAAAAATCTAGACCTAATCATCGAAAGTGATTTCACGATAAACATTTTGAAGGCGATGAGTCAAAGCTTTTGTTTTCTTATACGTCACTGTTGGGAAAGTATGTCCCAACAGTGACGTACTTTGGAGAATTGCCCATAACAATATTACTCAGAAGTCTTTAGTTCTATTGTTATAGTTGGATTTCTCAGTAACAGGTTTCCTGTTTTCATATCAGAGTATCAGACAATAAATATTAATTGTCTATTTTTTGTTATAAGCACGAATTTTCGAGAACATTTTTAAATAATAGTAATACTGTTATAAATAGTTTATAAGTCTAGAAAACTAAAATTGCTTAATGGTCAAGGTCTTAGAAGTGCATTACAAAATAGTGTTAAACAAAGCTAGTTCTTATTACATTTTAACATTTAAAATAGTATGTATGGAGTCTGGAGAATAATAATATGAAAGAAAAGGATAATGATGGGATGGGATATGATGATATCTAATACCAATATATAAATTGGAATGAGACTAGAAAGAATTACGGAGCCTAAACATAATCTGCCATGCGACTGACAGCGAGTAACTGTTAAACAGGGCTCAAATCATGAATTACTCTAATTAGAGGCAATCAATCTTCTACTTGCGGAGAAATCGAAGGCTATATCTAACTACCTATATTAAGCAAAAAACTGTTGAATCATTGTATCAAAGGCCTATGATGACGCAATACTTCGGCATGAAGTCAGACTGTTTGGCAACGCACCAAAAATATTGTTCCGTGCTGTGTAAAAATTGTTATTTAACATCGTTTTAATGCCAGTTTAATTTACAAACGATTGGAATTTTATGAATAACGCAGTTTTTTTTAAACAACAAAATTATAAAGATTACAGATTCAAATCTTTACTCTTTATAATATTGTTGTTGTTGTTGTTGTTGTTTGTTTGTTTGTTTGTTTGAATTGAATAGGCTCTGAAACTATTTGACCGATTTGAACAATTCTTTCACTGTTAAGAAACTACGCTATACCCGGTGAACCTGGGCTTTACATATGATTGGACTGAAGTGTATTGGTTTCGGAACTAAAAGAGCGTTAAAGAAATGATTAACGCTTTGAGTAAAGAGCTACTTACTGACAATTTATTATTTTCGTACAGTTGAAGATGACCATGAATTTTTGATACTAGTTTTATAGTCAAAAATCACTTTTAACCTAAAGTATGTTGTTTGTAATAAATGAAAGTGTTTTATAGTTTTATATTCAATAAAAATATTATGTACATATTACTTTCGTTACAATCATACTAATACGAAGTTATATACTTAACAGAACCATACGAACCGGCCAATTTATATGCAATATCCTCATAAGTCTCGAACGAGAACACTAGAATATGTTTTTTTCAACAGACACTGACTTGGAATCGTGCCCAAAACACCAACGCAAACAGACTAGATTTTTTTCAAACACATTAGTACTATGAAGCTGGATATTCACGTAACACACATTTTTGTTAAAAAGTATTACATACATTGTAATTTGTAGGTACAATCAGCCAAGTTATTTTTATGCAGGATGCAAGAAAACAAAGATTGAATCAGTTCAGACACTATAGGCATTAATTGATTACTGAACCGTCCACAAAGAAAACACAATCAAATAGGTATAATTACAATTACTAAGTATATAATATACTTATACTATATCAATTTTTGATGTATACTGATGTAAATGACCGGGCTACAGGACCAGGGTACATACTGTGTGTGCAAATTTCCTTTCGTAGGTATACCTATAGGCTTTTTGCTTGACGTTCAAAAGTGTCTAATGTGGTCTATATGAAATACTTAAATGATTTTGACTTTGACTTTGGTTTGGCAGCTAAATAATCATGTCCAAGAGATAACAGTATAGGAAAATACATTCGAAAAGTTAATCGTTGAAGTTGTCTCACCAAACTGAATCTGGGCTTTTCCCCAGACAACTGAGACAATTTTTATATTGATAACGAAGCAAAAGGGACACAGGTTACAAAAAAACCAGTCGGTAATTGTGTAAAGGAAATTAAACTCAAGTATCAGTGGACAAAACTGAAAATACAATGAACGGCGATGACGAAAGGAAATATCATTCATATCTACACGCATAATTCAAGTACAACTGCACTAACTCGGAACTGACCCTGTAGTATATTAGGCGTGTTTGAAGGAAACGTTTCATTACGCTAGTCCAAGGACTGGTGTCCTAGAAACTCTTAGTTTTACACCAATTTACGCAATTTCATACCAATCGTGTATCATCGTTGCAAATGACATTGCTTGTATCCGCTGCGAGAATTTAACTCTGGGTAAGTCGCGTTGTGAATGTAAATGAATTGTTCTTATGAGTTATACCGTTTTACTTTACAATTTACTAACTGTATTTTCTAAGTACTATAAAAATTTAATGAAGTCTCCTTTATAAGTTTAATTTTTTTCGTTTAAGAAGAGAGAGAGAGAGTTAACGCCGCACATGGACGCTCACAATACCAGAAAAGTAAGGTACAAGGTACGTTGCCAGCCTATTAGGCAATTGAATTTTGGAGATTTGAGAGATTGGGGAGGAGAGTTAGGCCCGATAACCTCACCACACACACGTCGAAACAGAACGCTTTATTCCATTCCCACGCTGGTTTTCTGAGAGGCCGTGGTAACAATCCGGTCGAATCGACCCCATTCGTGTCTCTCCCACATTTACCTAAACTTTCCACAGTCCACACTCCCTAATAAGTAAATAGCAGACAGTTTCTTTCAACAGTAGCTACGTAGGGAAGATTACCTAGTATTAATAACAAATCAATCAACGCATTATGTGAGATAATTGTTATCACCTGACAAGACACGTCGACACATTCATTCATACTTTACAGAGCGAGACAGATTTGAATAGAACGAGACACAAAACCTAACTATAAGTTTAGCTTGGAATGTATATGTACATATGTATAGAGTATAACATAATACCAGATTCAAACTACAAAACACTCCACAATAATTAGAATCAGAATAGGTACAATGAGTGCTTGATATTTATCAATAGTTAGAGTCCGCAGAATGACGTATGTACACATAGCGTGTAAAAACTATGTAGAACAAAACTAACTTAAATGGCAATTAAATTGAACCTTATTTCGAAGGAAATAAAGTTACTTTATGTAGTCAATGTAAAATATGCGGCGCACATAGGGGTATTTGATCAATAAAGTCGATCAAAATTATTTATTTGCTATAATTTATTTATTGGCATTAAAATGTACTCAAAAAGTTAGAAAAACCTATTTTGATATGTTTTTTAACACGAATTTGAAATAAGTGTAAAAAAAAAACTTTTGTCACTATTTGTTTATTGCAATCATTAACAATTTAGACGTATTAATTAAAAACTTATAAACTAATAAATTATAAAATTAATTAAATCGCTTATAAGTTAATAATAACTACTCTTCTTCATCTGAATCATGTTCACTATCTTCTGCATTCCCTTTATCCTTATCAACTTCGTAGGACATTAACGTTTCTCTAGTTTCTAGTTTACAAGGTATTGATTTTTTAGACACTTTTCGTCTAATACTTGTCAAATATGGGTCTGAAGTTAATAATAATCTATTTAAGACATCCATATTACAGTCAGTTCTACTGAATTTTCTTGCATATTGTTCCCTGAATTTTCTAAAATGTTTATTACGAGCCTCTGCAGCTTCTTCTGATAATGCCCCTATTGGTAGTATGGCGTGTCTAATAACTGTAGGCTATGTATTAAAATTTTGTTTTATTATTTTATTAATATATTATTAATGAAAATAATAAATATATTAATTAAAATTTATAACTGTAGGCCATGTATTAAAATTTTGTGAAGTCATTGGATACCATGAGTATAATTCTACATACATCTTCTCTATCGGGATTTTAATTTTTTTTTTCGGTATTTCAAGAGTGCCTTGTAACCAATCATGGTATTTTTTCAAAAATACACTTTCTGTTCGCTTTGCTGTCTGCCAATTAGACTTCATTTCAGACTTGAGACGAGAAAATGTTTGAATAAACTTTGATTTTTGATCAGTTGGGAATGAAGAGTCATTAACTATTTCAAACTCCAATAAATCCAACTTTTTTCCGTAATCTGGTTCAGTATGTTCCTTCGATTTTCGAAAAACATAATTTCGCGTCACGACCTTTGTACCAGCTTAACCTACAACAAGAGAAATCTGAAATTAACTTCAGTGACCGCAAAATAAAGTTTGTTTTTGTAAATACCACATGCACTTAATTTTCAAAATGTTTTAATTTTGGCAAATGTTGGCAGCTATTTTCTTTTAAAATTTCTACTATGCATTTCTAACAACAGGATGAAAAAAGAATTTGACCCGGGAAAAGTCCGGAAATACAACAAAAAGACTTTGAAATATTGGAAAAGGCGAAAATCGACTCATCATTTTAATGTACCCCATAAAAGATCGAGTAAATAATTGTTAAAGGTATATATTACGAAAAAAAATAGTAATATAAATTTTACATACCTTGTTCTGCACCGTCCATAACTAAAATATGATTTATTCCGAGTAATCTAACTGTCACGCTTATTTTTAACAATTAAGTTGACTCACTTTCACTGCGTATTAAGTTCGTGCGATCAAGCTTGCGTTAGAAAGACGACTGATTGTGAACGGAATTTTAGCAAGAAGAAAAGAGAGTCGAGCGGTTTATTGTCCCCCCGACCCTACCGTTTCGCCTGGTAGCAAAAACTACCTTCTATTAATACTTTGTTATATTCGACTTTTGATCGACTTTTTGTGTTAAATACTCCTATGTGCGGCGGTCTGAAAAATTGTTTTGTTAGATTATTTGCATACTGTCAAAAGATAAAAGGGTTTTTAACTTACAGAGTATGTACATTAATTTCAAGGATTGAAAGAGATAACGACTTATGAACACCATAAGTGTGAGCGAGAGATCCAATTTTGTGCGACACCGGTATATGGAGCCTCTGCTACTAAACTTTTGTTTACTAAGAATGATCGAACGGGCCCTAAAATGACGGCCACGCCTTGGCAGATATATGTAGGGGAAAATTATGAAAAAGGAACTCATAGACAAAGTGAGGTGATGGGAAAAAACAGGATATGTTTTAGCCAAGGATTTGTTTTTCTGATACAACTGTTTATAGTTATAAAAAAATAATCTAGGAATAGCTACGATTTGGAATAACATAGTCCAGACGTTTAATATTGATATTAAAAACCAGCTACGATAAAATGTTCCTAAATAAAACTATAGACATCTCACGCCGATTAAAACCTATTCACGAATGATAACATCAGCTGTTTGTTATCATCACTTTAGTTCTTTATGAACTTACATATATGAAAACTATTAACGAATAGATACCTAATAATAATTGTGTGACAATGGCATTACAGATCTACCAATTAATAGACCACAAAGTTTAAATGAGTAAATATTAATTAAATTAATTCTGCGGTTGACTTCAACTGTTTAATTTGGTTCAATGTTCTGGATAATAACACAACAACACCCGCCAAATGGTAATTGAAACAACACCCTTAAGGACATAAACTACGCGTATAATGATGGCTATTAGGTTAATTAAAATATATAGTCTAGTTAGCATTAATACAGCAGAAACATTGAAACAAAATGAGCCCTTGGATAATGATACAACTATTAGCAACTTTAAGGTTCAAATTCGAATCAGTAAAGAAATCGAAAAAAGAATATTCATAAAAATAACCCTTCGATTTAATGCAGAAAAGGGCTGAAGCTATTCCGGTTTTTTTAACCGACATTACCGCCCTTTTTAGAAAACCTTGTTTTTCTTTAGTCTAGATCGAAACCATTGACCTAGTTTTTGTATTTCGAATTGGTGATAGGTTGGTGGTTGGTAATATGGTTTAAACTTGGACTAAAGATAAATCTTGTTTTGTAATAAGGGGGTATATAGACTTTCATTGAACAAGATTAAGCTATAGCTAAGTCGGAAAAATAAAAAATATACTGTAGGTACTCACTAGCAGTGTAAGTCTGCTTGATGACGTTGATCTCGTGGTTGGACATGGTGCACATGACTTCAATGAGAACGTCCTCATCAGTCCCGATGCCCGCGATGGCATCGTGGAGTTCCTTGCAGTAGAACTGGGGCAAGGGTGTCATGAGGGCCACCAGCAGATCCTCAAACTTGCCACTGGTTTCACTCTTCAAGTCTGCCACCAGATCCTGGGAGAATAAAATGCTGTTTATTGTGATGTTTTTGTCCAAAAGCCGTTGTAATTTAGTTGTTCTTCTGAGCTATCCCGTATATCAGCTAGCTCTTTCTATTAAGAAAAGCATGAATTACTTTGTGGCTTCTTAAAATTCAGACCACGGTGTTCATCCACATTTAACATTATAGACATTTAAATATTCGGACTGCTTTTATTTAAATACTCCTTTAAATAAAAGCAGTCCGAATATTTAAATATTTCAACAGACAACTGATGTACTGAACCAATCAATAATTGTCAACCGAAACCTATCTATCATAGCATAATCGGTTTCAAGTCAAATTGTTTCTACCGACACATCTACACAAAATATTCTTTAGCGGCAAAGGCAACGTACTTTCGGTTTTAACCTTGACTGGCCTTGAGTTGTTCCCATGAGGAAAATCCACTAATGGCGAATTATATTACATCACACTACGGTCACGCCGCAACGCGTACTTGTATAAACTCAGTACGAGTTCTTTCTAGGAAACTGTCTTACTAGGTAATACGTTCTTAGAACAGCTAATTCCACATTGGAAGAAAAATCAATAGCATAGAGAAACATCGTTAAGTTTACTGTTGTACCGTTTCCATAGACTTAGAAGTCACAATTAATAAATCATAATCAGAACAAAGGCCTCTCCCTTTCCTTCCTCAATAGCTTTAACCTTTCACTCGTGGTAATTCGAATCATAATAGGTTCTAAAAACGCGGTGTTGCCTTGGGGTTTGATGAACTAAACAATCAATCGAATTTGTCAAGCAAATATTTTAATATTAATATATATTGTGTAAAGTATCTATCAAGCTTTCTTAAAAGATTGTTTATAAGTTACCGGGAGTTGGGACTTAGACAAGTATTTTGGAAAAACTCAGTTTCGTTTACGGTCTTATCATACTAACTTTTATATAGTAAACAAGGCATTTGGTGCCTATTTTTTTCAGTCAATTTTTTTAGGAAACTCAAATTAAAAACGTTTTTTTATTGATGCAACATATTTTGATATCAAAGTCTCGTTAGGCTGCTCGATACGTTTTACAAACGGGGAATTCATGGTGCCTATGCCCCTGTGCCTTGATTGGTTACCTTTGGTTTTCCAGTCATGTACATCATATCCCACATCATCAGCCAATAAGTGCCCATTGCTGAGCAAAGGCCTTTTCTCTCACAGAGCTAGAACATAATCACCACGCTTACTTAAGGCAGATTGGCGATTTCAAACTTATAAATAGAAATTATAAGTCTGGTGTCTAAACAATCTTAGAAAGTACCTACATTTAACTCGGAAAGTCACAATGGTAATTGCTAGGTTTGAAACCCGCAACCTCATGCATGAGAAGCGGAGCGCCCGCTTCCTAACCTAACCTCCGGCCCACCACGAAGTCAACAAAAGAGAATTGACAGTCAGGTACGCACTTGATGATAGATAAACATGGTATGAAGCATGTTTACGAGTAATGCCAAGTCCTACTTCAAAAGTAGTTGTTAACAATCAATCTCATACAGCTATTAGTGTCTTTAAGTATAACTATCTCTATACCTAGTTACATTGTTTCAAGGTCAGTGCTGGGAACAAAATAATCGATAAATGACGTTTTGATATCGGATTGGTCAGTTGAACCGAATGTAAGGGGATGGAGGACTTGTTTACAAGGCATCAAAAGGGTATTGGTGACGATGCAAACCAGGATCGATATAATGGCGACGACGCGTCCCGCCAAAAGAACTTTTGGCGCGTTTTTCTAGATCATTCTCACATAACATATGAAGCCGACTAGATAATTAGGTAGGGACTTTATTTCAATGTTTGTAGTCGAGTTTGATTTTTGCAATATTAGTAGGGAATTTATGAGACTGATGTATCAAAAAAATACTGTGAAATGAAGGAAACATCTGAATACAAATTGCACTTAATTTCCTGTAGGTCTGTATTTTTTTACAAAACCAACTTGAAATGGATAATATTTATTGGTTTTATAGGTTAATTAGAAATAGGTAATATTTCTAGAACGTATGCATAAGTAGAATAAATAAATATATGAAAAAAAAACAACATTGAATGCTACCATGTGACGTGAACACTAAAGGCAGACTTAATAACGTAGTTGGAAAAGCGCTTATCGTATTCATTAGGTTTAAAATGTATAAATTATAGCACTAATTATAAATACATAGTAAATAGGTATAAAGTGTAGCTCAAGCCCATTTTTATTAATAAATATATAATAATATTTCATTTAGATTAAAGTTGTCTAAAGGGCCTCTGCGCAGTTGGCTCCGGCCGCTCGTACGCCTTCCAAATGACCGGGACCCTGTGGTCCCGTGATTGGTAAAGACATACACAATAATTAAATAGAGTATCTATACACTTTTTTTTTTTAAAAAAAAAACGTTGCCCCACACTAGGATTTTCTCCTGTGTCGTGGGTGCGTTTACAAACATACAATTTCACATGCACATCACACCCAGACCCGGAACAACAATCTGTGGATCACACAAAGAGTTGTTCCGTGCGGGAATCGAACCCGCGACACGTTGCGCGGCAGCCAGTTGCCAAGCCACCGCGCCAACCGTGCAGTCCGCAATATTTATACACACACATGTAAGTGTTTATTTATTATATTAAAAAAGTGTTTGGCCCGCTGTAATATTTCCTGTGTCGTCGGATATTTTTACAATCATAGAATTTCACATATTACATGTACCTATAACAATCAGACCCGGAACAACAATAGCTAAATCACAAAGAATTATTAGCAAGTCGTGATCTAAAATCAAAATCTTTAAATTAATATTTATTTTTTACACTTTAAAGAATGTTGCAATTAATTTCGATTGTGACATATTGTTCAAAATTATATGCTTAACTTGTATGTAGTTTTGGTCATCAATCATCTCTATGCGAAAATTCTTCAAAATCTGATGCTTGTAAAAAGTCTTCAAAGCCGATCGAATGTCCAAAGCAGACTAAAAACCACCCGCTCCTTCTTCTGCTTTAGGCCAAACCCGCGGGAAAAACATTACTGTTACTTTATATAGAGGTATAGAATAATCATAAATGACAAAACAACAATGACCTTTACAAATAAGTGGGTAAAAATATCATTAGAAATTTAAATTAACAACAAAATTATTAGTGACAGAGGCAATTTCAGTAATAATTTTGTTGTTAAAAATATATTAAGGAAATCTGTTTACATAGTTGTGTATTACTAACTAACTACTGCCACGCTGTTTCAGCCGTTGATCCTTTCGATCGTCCTATTGGTTTGGATTGGTTTGGTCGTCTTATTGGTTGTCCTATTGGTCGTAGCGTGAAGTTTTAATAGCCTATAGTGCTATAGGCACTGAAAGAATTTTGGAAATCCGACCAGAGGTTCCAAAGATTGACTTGACTCCCTACATACAAACTTATCTACAAATATATATTAGTAGGTATAGATTATTGTAGTGCCTATTTTATCGTCATTTTCCACGTAAATACTACTCAAAATAACAGGTCTGCAAAATAAATTAGGTAATTGGCAACTAAATAATTACTGAAATAAAATTGGAAGCGACGTGTAATTAATAAGTCGATGGGAGCTGCCTTTTAGTTAATTGGAAAATTGTCACCCCGAGGACAGACGTTTGCAATTACTCTAGCCAATAAAACTAAAATGAAAAATTTGCGAAACATGATGCCCCTTTTGTAAGATACTGAATATTTCTTTACAGAATACTGACATGCTTTTTTAAAAAAACGTGAAGAATCATCATTTTGTTCTTCCGCCCTGGGTGGGGGCCAGAGGGTGTGCCAGACTCTTACTGACTAAAAGCCAACCCGATCCTTCTCCAGTTCTCCTGCTACATGCTAAGTAATTGAAAGTTATTGTATTAGTAAGGACAAATGGCGATAGTCTGGCGTCTCTTTGAGGCGCGCGTTTAATGTAACGGAAGCACGGTGTGACTTCGGTCTTTTGGCTTGGCTCTTGCTACGTCAAACTTTTTTTATTTCGTAATGGGTAGGCATTTGACCGCTATCCCGCCTGGTGGTAAGCCATCGCTTCATCATGCGACCTACGATGAAGCCCGCTTACCCATAAGCAACCTATTCACTCGGGCCTTGAAGACTTCAGGGAACACAGACTCCTGCAAAGCTTTCCACTCCTTAGCGGTTCTGATAATTAAACTGGAGGTGAACCGCTTCGTTTGTGTGGGTGGGATATCCACCATGAAGCGAGAACGTTTTGACGACTTACGTCAACATAAACATTTAGCGCTGTTTTACCAAAACATCCCGTTCAAAACATTGAACTCAATTCTATATTCCGTTTTGAACCAAGTTTTTTGATACAACCAATTAAACCTAACAGCTTCTTAACAGTCCCGTGACCACTTCCACGGCATTTGGGCCTGACTACTCCCAATCAAGCAAACAAAATGTGTGTTCGGAGGAACTTATATTGAGAGGAACCAATTTCCAATGCAAATCCTTGTGTAAGTTTGTCAAAATAAAAATGATGTTATAACCGGTTTCGCACGCAATAGGATTAAAAAGATCTTTGTGTTATTATAGACAAATGTTTATCCTAATGCCAAATTCCATTCAGAACCGTTCAATTGTTTGTTTGTGAAAGATCCATTCCACATTCACAGTCCAATCATACAAAGTTACAAATAATCGCGTTCATAATACCTATTAGTGATATCTGAAGATTCTAATCTTAATATGAAGCCGACAATGTTTACATGTAAACAATGTTGTTGAGATATAATCTTATCGTTATCGTAGGTATGTAGGTACTCTAGGTACCTATTATAATCAAGTAAGTATGAGTGCTACTACATTCCTGATAAAATCATTGGAATAACTTAAAATAAATTTAATATCTACGAAGTTAGAAAAGTTTTCGTCTGTACTTATTCAATAAAAGTACTAATGCTATCGCATAGCAACTGCTTTAGACAATTATTATAAAATCATTTAAAATAGTCTAGACTAGCGCCGGCGCCATAGACCTTGAGCTGAATAACTAGAACAAACAAACAAAAATATATTTATCTCTTTCTAACTTACCTTTCCGTAAAGAGTCTTGAACTCAAAGGCGATTCGTAAACGCTGTTCATTGGTGCGTCTAGCCAGGACATGGATAATGGCCTTTTCGTCTGTGCCAAAACCTTTCATTGCCTTCCTAAGGACGGCGGCATCTTCCCGGGGGTCGAAGGGATTGGCCGGCACAACAGTCGGCTTTGTCTGAAAAATGAGACCACTTTAATATGCATGATTTTAGACAAACCTTATTTAAATACCTAAAATATTGTATTATATTTAAAACAAACAAGTATGTATTATAAAAAAGAGTAGATATAAAAATAGCAAAGACTATAATTTATAAAGCCGTTCATGTAAAGAGCAGTAGGTAATCAAGTAAAAAGTCTGTCTATCCAATTTCAATTTTCAAATATGGCGTCATAAAATGCAATATAAGGACTATTATATTTATTGAACGCTGCATATGCACTACAATCACTAGAATGGGTACCCAGGCCCGAAAGACAGGACAACAGCCAATCAGATTGATGCTAGCGTTAGCGTAAGCATTATATTTGATTTAAGCGGTCGTAGGGACGCAGGATCATTTTCCGAAAGGTGGTAGGTAAGTTTGTAGTGACAATGTAGTGCAGTGAAATACGGCGATAAAAAGCAGTGATGTATTTTGACAGAAATACAGAATAATTTAAGAAGCAAATTTCTGCCAAATTGACCATTTTATCCATTTTTGACAGTCCAGTGGCCTTAATCAACGTTTTAAAGGATTTAACAGACTTCAGAAGGCAACCTATACAGGTAGTGATACAAAGTATCCAATAACAGCAATTGTATCGCAGATAAACAAGCAATTTAGTTACATATTCCCTTGAACGCTATCTATATCTCGACAACACTTACGTTTAATGGCTAAAACATGCCTAACATTACAATAAGGCCAAAATAACTCAATTCGCTAACTCAGTATCTATAAAAAGGAACGAATCAAACTGTTTATCTTGCTAACTCTACCTCGATTGTCTTACAAATTGCAAGACACAATTGAAACTAATTCGTCATTGAAACATAAAAGAAAAATAAATACCGTATAACGGAACGATTTGAATCCTCGTCGTATACCAATTGATGCTCTGTAAGCACTGCGCATACTCGAATTGGACGTTACCGAAGACATATTAAACTCGATATTTTTGTCGATACCACAATTAACAGCGTCACATCACTATTAAACACTATTATAGATTAAATATTGTTTTTAGAGGTGAGACTTAAGATGTATTCGGAGATCACTACATCCATTGTAGTGGGGACCAATGCCAAGACTGAATCGTTCGTGGCTTTGATAAATGTACTGAGAGGCGAAGTGAGCATAACAATGTAATTGCAGCAAAATGTTCCTTGAATAGAGTCACAGAACGAGTAGGTACGTCCACAGTCCAGCCTCCTGTGTTAGGTACACTAAATAATGTACGTCGTGAATTTAAAATGACTCCTATACTTTATTTTAACCAAGTTGATTTAGGGTATCGGTAGAGCCTTAATTGACAAAATATTGATCATTTAAAAAAATGTACTAAACCTAAGAATCTAGGAACATGTAACCCAACTCTCGGCAGATGTTTTTCGAGGTTGTGTGATATATTTTATTCGCAAATCTAACTAAATACAGGTCCATACCAAAAGGTTTAAATGAGAGAGAATCGAATTCAACCTTAACCTACATGATAGGGCTATTCTGCTGACCGTTAAATCTAATCCCATTAAGGTAATAGGCGTAGCGGAAACACAATTTTGCGAAGTAAAAAAGGTGAATTCGATTCTAAGAATCTTTTTAGTTACTTACCTAATCTAACTTTCTAAATTCAAGAAAACATGTTTTTTTAATAAAATAATAATTATTATTAGCAAATTAAAACGGAGAATTAAAAAAAAATAACTAATATCATCTTAGAAGACATAAAAAACAGCATAGAAATAAGTTTAAAAAAATGTTCTAAGTACTTAAATAGGTACAGGTTTAAGTATTCCAAAAACGATGGTAGACTATTTGATTAAAAATTGTTTTGGTTAAATTAAGTAAATTATAAGTCTTGAGTATGGAAGTAATAAGTATTGAGCTAATCAAATTTGCAGGAAATGTTCAACATTTTAAATTTAATGGTCAAGCATTAACTTATTCATACACTATAATACTATAGGCAAGCTATCAACGAAAGAAGATACTAAATGAGACAAACTACTAACCACCAAAGCTGAAAATAGCACAATCAATTAACTGTCAATAAAGTTAATGACTCAAAACTGCAAACTAATTGCAAACAGTAATATATGTAAAAGTTTAATACAAACACATTTTATAAAAATAGCTGATCCAGCAAACTTTGTACTGCCTAATAGCCAATGAATATTTTTTTCTCACATACAACACAATTATATGATCAAAATGAACCAAATAGGACTAGCAACTCTTGAGTTCTAGCAAGACAAAAAACAGCTATTATTTTTTTTATATTCATAAATGTTATGTGCATACAGCACACAACATCTTTTCTTTTCTAAATCATATTTGATAAGAAATATTGTATGAACTAGTTTTGATTAAGTAGATGTGCAATTAAATGGCAATGAAAATGATCTAGGACTATGCTCAAGCACTAAAACCCATGAAAGCAGATATTAAATAAAATAACAATCATGCAAATCATTGTAATTTAATAGCATTGTTTTGCTTATCACAAAATAACTAGCTTTTTATAAGATTAGTACAACAATAAATATGAGTTAACTCATTAACCATAACTTTGAAAAGATAGAAAAATAAGACAAGAATATATTTGCAAAGTTGCCTATAAACAAAAGCAGTTCAACGTACCTTAGGCATTGCAACATTGTAAGCTTGTTGGCTAGCATGGGACTGACCGTATTGTTGTTGGCCCTGGTATTGGTTAGTTTGAGGGTAGCCGGGGCTACTTTGTGGGTAACCTGGGCTACTTTGTGGGTAACCTGGCCCACTTTGTGGGTAACCAGGATTACCTTGCCCTTGTACAGGGTAACTACTTTGAGCAGGCTGGGCATACCCCTGTTGAGCCTGTTGGGGGTACCCGGCTTGAGCAGTCTGTGGGTATCCCTGACCTGGGTACCCTTGAGCAGAATTTGGATAACCCTGATTTACTTGTTGTCTTGGATATGGAGAGTTTTGTTGTTGAGGGTAACCCTGCGATACCTGGGGGTATCCGGGTGCGCCACCAGGCTGGGGTCCTGGATATCCCATTGTTGGCATTCCTGGCATAGGCATTGGGTTCCCAAAAGACTGTGGGGCACTGTTGCAGAATCCAACATTAGGATAGTATTGTTGTTGCGGGTTTCCTTGGCCCTTGAAGGAAATGAAAATGTACATCAATTCATTATCCTATTGACAATGTCCCTATACCTACACAAATAAAATACATGTAAGTTTTAAAATTCTGGTGATTGACATACCTTTTTATTTAGTTATAAAAGCATTTACTTAATGATGAACATAGGCCTCCCCGAAAGACTTTCAGATAAACTTATTTTTTTTCTGCAGTAAGGCATAATAAACCAAATGAAACCTATTCTTTTGCTGAATGCTCTATGGTTAATTCTGCTTGGGTAAAACATTAACTTTAGCAAAAGTTTTATTGACAACAAAATCAGAATCTATAGAACATAGTGCAACCTCCTGTAGTTGATTGTCAAATAATTCCACCATAATAGAAAGTAGGTGAAGAATATGCACTCAGCATTTGACGAAAGTCACATGTTAAGAATAATAATTAAATGTGGGTCTGATCATGCCTCTTATAGAAACTTGCAAAAAAATAATTATACTTGCTTAACAACAGAAAACTATGTTAAAGTTAAGTGACGCGACCTTAAACATGCAATAATATTGTTGTAAGTAAACATTTCACTATGAGACATACCTACACATAATGTGTAAAAGTTATTAATATTTATTCATATTTACCGATACCTAAGTATATTATGGCAATAAACGTCAATCAACCTCATTTTTGTGATAAACAAAACAGTTGCCGACCAAAACGCATTGATATCACTATATTACCTTTACCTACTAACTTTGCAAACTTATTCCGCCGGTTTACTCTCAACATGCGATGAAAAAACCAAATCCAAGCTAACACTAACTACTAAAATACGAAAAAAGACTACTTACTTGCTGCCACGGATTCATTTTAATACAACAACAACTCCTTTGATGATGAACTTATCACACACTGAATACCGATGGTTTATAACTGACCAACGCACCGACTTGGGTAAATATGATGACGAATCTCACGGAGTCAGTGACTAATTTTATTGCACAATGAACACAAGGCTATATGACCCTAATGTGATGACGTGTGTCGTTTTCCTTCCTACTCCTACTTTTTAATAAAATCTACTTTAGCGAGAACTGGATGTGTAACCGAACGCTATGACGTCTACAAATAGCGAGCTCCCAAATGTCATTGACATCCGTTCGTTTACATGATTTGACAATGACAGGCCGTAGCGGTAGTTTTGTGTTGCCAACCCCTATTTTGATAAAGCTTGATATGGTTGGAGATTTTTAGGGTTATTTATAAGTTTACTTAATAGCAAAATTCCACGCCACAGATACGTTTTACTCTAATGATTTTTGAAAATATGAACTACCATAATATTGCAAATAAAAACACTTGTGTAGTTTTTGCACAGTCGAAATAAATCTACTACTGTACAAAACATACCATACCTTGGTAACTCAAATTGTACAGTGACTAGGCGCCAACTTTTGAATTCTTTATAAATTAATTGAAAATACTGACTTGAAAATTAATAAATCCTGGACATTAGCACTACGTATTCTATAGCCAGCCTTGCGGTTTTCTACAGGATGCATTTTGGAGAGTGTGCCCAGGAATTGCACGATTTCATTGAGGGATTGGAACAGTTTGCCGGCTGCAGTCTTTCCGTCCGAATACAATTTAGGTGTCTTCAAGACTTGAGTGAATAGGCTCTTAATAAACTAGTGCGCCTTACCATCAACGATTGCATCACTGCTTAACATCAGGTGGGATCGCAGTCAAGCACTGGTTTATTGCAAGTAAAAAAAAAAAAAATAGACATGGGAAATGTAACCGGGGAGGCACTAATGCTTATCTCAGACAAAATTGAGTGTATTTTCCTATTTTGACTGAAAATCTTACAACCTTCTTTTAAAAACTCACTCACTCAAGAAGTTAGATCAAAGAATAATGTATTCTTTTTAAAGAGTTTCTACTATAATTACCTCTGAAAACAATCAAGACATTTCTGAGCACATAATGTCAACACATCAAGTCACAGTTTTGTAGTATTCCAAATTTAATGTGCGTGGACTTAATATTATGTGAAATAAATAAATTAACAGAATAGAAACTAAAAATATGATCAACTTTTTTGCCGCGCCGTGCAATATATAGAAGAATAAAAATGGCTAGCTCTAGGGCCGTTTTAGCTATTCGAAATTACTTTACTGGTTTTGCTTTTACCAACCAAAAGTGTAACACGACACCCACCCAATGCCAGCCCTTTAATACCGATAATTCACAAGACTTATTAAAAAAACCATTGTCTGACAACAAGTCAACTTCTGGTTTTCATACGGAATCAAGTGATACGGTTCTGTATGACTGGCGTAACGCTGCGTTGGTCGTCGTAGGCGCTTGTAAAGGCATTGGGGCCCATATCTTAAGAATGGCTTTGAATGAAGGTGTCGAGGTAAAACTTGAGTTTATTTAATAAATGATACGGAATAAGTAAATAATTTTTATTATAGACCCGAGAGAAATGTTATATTTTTAATTTGACTTTCAATCTGCGTGCAAACGCAGATGTTGGCCAACGCCTTTAATTAATGCAGAGGAGATCAATACTTAGTTTAACAATGGCCTGTTAAGAATTGTTTATGAATCTGCTTAGGGGTTTACTTATTTATTTAATATTTCCAACGATTCTTTACTATCTACACACAATCTATCAACTTCTTTTTCTATTACAGTCTGTTACCAATTTGGACATAAACGAAAAAGCTGGTTTCGCTATGCAATACGAATTCAATCAGAGGTACAGTGACAAAAATAAAGTGAAATTCATAAAGTGTGATATAACCAGTGAACACCGACAGATTGAAATTTTTCAAAACCTTCTGAATGATAGGACAAAGACTTACGTAGTGGTCAACAATGCTGGCTTAATTGACCAACGGCCAGATATGAGCAAAGAAGTTGTTGATTGTAATGTGGTAAGAAATTTTGAATGTTTTTATTCAAATCATTTTTGAAGGTACATACCTACATTAAGAACATTCTATCGAACTCTGTTTACTAAGAACAGTTTCAAATATCATATAGAGAGTAACAGATATCATACTTTTATTTAACGTTTATGACCTTTATGGTTTTGTCTCAAAAGAAGTATTTTTAGGAGAGTATTTCCAATTCACTAATCTTCCTAATCTACTGCTTTTTGTAGATGACGTACTTTTATAGCCTGTTTTTTTTCTAAGCATTATAAGAGTAGCAAGAAAGATTTTAGGTTTTCTAATGGTTATCGGCAATTGCTGCCTAAGTGCCTACATCTGTAACATCAGTGGCGTCGTAGGATCATAAAAGATTTTCAATGATTTCATTTTCTTTAATGAAGTTATGGTTTTGATCCGTAATGGAAGAGCACAGGTTGTTGATGATAATGGTGATACTCTTATAATTAAATAAATAATTTATTCACACAAAATAAACATTTAGATACACATACACAATACAAAATGGGAGGTACTCCTAAAGTAATCACTTTCTGAAGACCTGCGAGAAGATAATTCCAAATTATTATTTTTAATCAAGAGACATTTTGTTTATCCACAGGATGCTTTAGTCACCAGTACTTTAAAGGCCTTGGATCTAATGCGCAAAGATGAGGGTGGCAGCGGTGGTGCAATTATTAACCTCTCCCCTGTCTCTGTCCTGTGTCATTTGCCATATACTAGATGCTACAATGACAATAAAAAATGTTTTTTGACTTTCAATATGAGTCTTGGCGTAAGTTTTCTCGTTTACCTATACTTATTTACATTAGGTATAGTTTTAGATATAGTACTTAGGTATTGAAATAAATCCAACGTTGTTACGTAACTGTTCAAGGAGGTTGCTCGACAGTCAATCTTTACTTTAACTCCCTTAGAAAATAACTCTTCTGCCTAGTTATAAAATACTCGTAGAAATACGTCTAGAATCACTGCATGTTCTATAGAAACACATAAATGCATCAAATGAATATTTCCATCCGCCCTGCGAGGGCCCAGAGGGTGTGTCCAAGTTACCAAAAACCACCCCATTTTGTTTTTTTTTCACTTCAAGCCCGACGTGCTCTTTCCGCTAGAACCCACAATCTTGGCTGGTGCATCCGCAACTTGGGCTTGAAAGCTTTACAAGTGCTAAAATCTAATTTTTGTTTCCAGAATGAAGCATTTTTCCCGAGGACTGGTGTTCGTGTAATGTCCGTGTGTTACGGTGCGTCTGATGAAGGTCTTATTCCCATCGTCCATGCTAAAAACAAGGAAGAAATCGAAAATACACTGGGGACTGAGAAAAGCTTACAAATGAGGTATTTTTTCTTTATGTGATAGGTCTGCAAACGAGCAGACGCATTGCCTGATGGTAGGCAATCAACACCGCCCATGGATATCCGCAACAACAGAGGAGTTATGAGTGCGTTGCCGACCTTTTGGGGGTTAGGGATTTGGAGATTTATACCATAAGCTCGCATAGATAGATTTGGTGCTAAAAAATAAGACTTCTAGAAGAAAATCAAAATATTGTTGGAATTAGTTGTAAGTAGACTATCTCGAGTCGGTTGATTTGTAGCACTTAGAACCATAATATTGTATGTTAAATATTCGTTAGGTATTAATTTATTTATTTTCATTGTGTGCATAAGCACACAAAATATTAAATATTTAACACAATACAATATAGTAACAAAATAGGTACAAAAGTATCTACTGCATATATTTCTATAGAAATTTCTTCCTGCAGACAGGAAAATTTGTTGAAAACACAATGCACAGTGAAGGTACAATCACAAAAAAATAAACAGAAGAAGAATTCAATTTATTATTAGTATCGATTTTAAATAATTCGTGAGGCATACCAAATTCTTATTATCTTTTATTTAGCTTTAGGTACACTTGATACATTTCAAAATATTTTCAAAAAAAAAAGAAAATCACTTATTTAACGACTAGCTCACTTAACACCATAACTCAACCAGTTTCAAAATACATTAGGTGCCTACATCGTAAATAAAAGATTTTTTTTTAATTTGTTCTAATTGCAATTTTTCTTTAATTTATTTTTTAGAAAAAAAGCAGCCGCGGAAGCTGTCATTGAAATATACAAAACCGGCAAGAGCGGTAGTATTTGGCTCTCAAAAGAGATGAAGCCAGTTGAAGACATAACATACTTCGTCAAAAATACGTACAGTGATATAATATACTAAATTGCGAAAAGTAAATATGTATTGTTTTATAAATAAAACTTTACTTTTTAAATGTGGAGTCTTATTCATTGTCCTGTTGTAAAACGCGCGTTTTACAGCTCGAATGCTACGAAAACTGACGCTTCACATGACACACAACCTGAAAATTATAAAATTATTGAAAAAGTATTTGACTTGTGATTTCCAGCGTTAGTGGTGTTTTTTCATCAAAACTAATAAAATTATAAATGCGAAAATAAATATGTGTCTGTCTGTCTTTTCTTCACGCCTAAACTAATGATCCCATTTGTGTGAAATTTGGTACAGACATAGTTTGGAACTCGAGAAAGGACATAGAATGGTTATTAAACTAAAAATCTGCAAGAAGTCACTATTCCACGCAAACAAAGTCGCTAGCAAAAGCTAGTTAGTAATAAGTATAAATGCCTACTTAAATGTAGGTACATGAGACAAGGCAGCAGTGGTGCAGTATTGATGATGAAAAAATATAAATTGTTTCAAATCAATTGATATAACTAGAGCTCACAATGGTGCTATAGGAAGTTTTTGAGCTATTTGTCACATTCCTTCTATGCTATGAGTTGCTCTTACTAAAAACTTTACCCGTCCTTTCTCCATTATAGCGATAGTGGACTGGACATTGGAGATAGTGAACATCTGTGATACGTCTAATGGCTTTTTAAGGATTTTTTTTTAATATTATTATATATTTTTTATAAGAGATGCACATTCTGTAATTGTGTAGTTTCCTAGGCCAAAAATAAATTAATTCGACGTTTCAATACTTACAATAAAATATTGAAAAATAACTATACTTTTATTCATAGATCGAACGATACACCAAGTTTTAGATTTTTTAGCTAATTATTCAGAAATAAGTACCTAAGCTATATGACGCAAAAATGTTATGTCGTCATAACTCAGTTTTCATACAAATTTCATAGAAAAGTATAGTTTTTGACGTTCGATAAAAGTATTGAATTTGACTACTTGAAAACTACTGTATTGCCTGTAGGTAGGTACTTAATTATGTATCAAGTATGTCTTAGTTCAGTTCAGTTTCATCACTTAAGTTTTGATCATTATTTGCACAAGTGTTCTTACACATAATGTATAATGACCAAACATAACCACAGAAATGTGAAAAAAACTATTCAGTACAAATTCCATATATGTAGATAATATTACCATATACGAGGCAAATGACCAGACTGAACACTACGCCACCATGAACACCTCCAGCACCAGAGGATTCACAAGCGTACGGACTACTGCTTCGATCGGGTTATACCTAGTTGATAGCTCTCCCACAGGATCCCATTGCAGGGGTAAATCGTATCATTCATTCATTTATTCATTTGCCTAAAATATATGTTGTAGTCTACAGATCTCATAACATATACACTTTCTTCATATCCTTTGTTTATATATAGTCTCAAATGCGCAATTGCTAAAAATTTTTTTTCTGAGCGTGTTGATCTGGTTAGATAGCTGACATGTCAGTCAATTTGACTCTTCGTCAAATCGTGAGAGACTGAGAGCAACATGCTTCGGCACGCATAGGCCAACTAGACCAAAGATATACCACGGCAACGTTTTCATAACACAGGCGGCAAACGAGCAGACGGGCCACCTGATGGTAAGTGGTTATAACATAATAATAGGCTAACCCGTTTTTTTGCAAGGGGAAATTCATCAAATGACTTCTCCCGCCAATGGCCGGGTGGGAGGGAGTGTCAGACTCTTACTGACTAAAAGCCCCCTTGTTCCTTCTCCTGCTCTGGGCCGAGGTCGCGGTGCCTCATTGCGCTTACCCCGCAACCCCGGCTGAAGGCTAACCCTCTGTGGTGATGTGTGTGATTGCTTACCATCAGGTATTCGGTATACTCGTATGCCGCCTTATCTATTACATAAAAAAGTCACATCATTTTTACTGTAGTTAGCCATAGGGCCATAAGTAGATACCTTATCATGATATTAGGTTGTTGGACAGCAACTGTAGGTACCTACCAATCAGTGAAATTCTCACCGGCCGCATCGTTTAATGATAAATTTTGTGCCTACGACTTTAAACATACCAATAATTTACATACTTAGGTACCTATTTATTACATTAATAATGATATTTATGATAATAGTATGTATAACTTGATGAGATGTGTACATAAATTGTTCAGTTAGTCATTGACAAGTGAGCCTCACAGTGAATATGTACGATTTGAAGAACAAAATAGTGGTTGTGACGGGGGCGTCTAATGGTATCGGGGCTAGTTTTGTTAGAGAAATCCTTAATGAAGGGGTTAAGGTAAGATTTTTTAAATAGCAAAATTAAGTAAGTATATTGAAATCAAGTAATCAAGACATTTTTATTGACTTGTATGTAATACGTCAATTTCTTTCTGAAACAATATACCTAGTGTGGGTACAATTATATTTCATTAAAATAAAGATAAAAAAATGTTTTTCATGTAATATTTTACAATAGACATTGATTTTGTAAAGAAGAAAATTCCGTTAATTTCTTTGTGAAAATTTCTGTGTCGGAATGACAAGTTTTGAAGGAAATTGTATCTACGAGTTGCTTTAAAAACTTATGATTTCAGTTTTTGTCTCTACAGTACAATTAATTAATAAATATAAATAGGTATCTACTTAAATTAATCCTAAAGTAGTTACATATTTAAACCTCAACATTGTGGAACGTAGGTAAAAGAAAGCAGAAGTTCATTTAGGATTGTTTAAAAATTTCTATTTTCTACAGCACGTAAGATTGTTAGATGTAGACGAAAAGGCAGGACATGCACTACAAGAGGAATTAGGACAAAAACATGGAAAGGATAAAGTTAAATTTGTAAAATGTGACGTCACGAACGATGAACACTTTATCGAAGCTCTAGAAGATACCAAAAAGGAGAATGGCTACCTAGACCTTCTAGTTAATAACGCTGGCGTAGCTGAGGAAGGCAACTTTGTGAGCATAAGAAAACTTATTGAAATTAATATTGTGAGTATAAATCTTAAGGTTTAAATTAAAAATGTGGTTAAATGTGTTGCTAAGAATACAAATTCGGTGGCCTTTGGTTGCACCTTCAAGTAAGATTAATTTTAGTGGGAAAGCACTTGTATACCCTATAAAACAGAGCAATGTCACTCTACTCAATTACAACAACTCGTTCAATTTAAAAATAAAATAAAACAAAGAGTTGACTTTGGGGACAATGTTCTTGCATCTGCAGTTGCAGATAAATAATGCAGTTTTTAGATAGCTATGTTGTATCGTATTTTGATTAAAATCATCTATAATATTAAGTACTTATCAATATTATCATTTATGAATAAATTTTGGACTTCCAAATTTTTATATAATTGAGATAATGGTATCTAGGTATATGGAATACGGTTTACCGAATATAAATTTAAAAACTTGTTCCTATTTTCAGACAGCATTAATAAATGGAACTCTCAAAGCTATTGAGCTGATGCGTAAAGATAAGGGAGGAAGAGGAGGTGCTATCATCAACGTATCCTCAATAGGTGGACTCTTTCAAGTCCCACCTATGTTCACTTATTCAATGTCAAAGCGTGCTGTTTTGCAGTTCACAACTTGTGTTGGAGTAAGTGCGTGATGACTCTAATAAACTTGGTTCACATTGATTATTTCGACTTTTCAACGCTTACGCAACGACTTTTCAGCGGTTTCCCTGTGAGAATACTGATGTGAGAGTAATGGCTGTGTGCATCGGTGTCACCGAAACAGATATTTTAAAGAAACTTAAATGTTACAACAAGGAAATGGATGAAGAGGCGCGAAAAGTACTCTCAAGACACCCAATGCAGAGGTGAGCGCAAAGATGTTAATCAATCAATCAATCAAATTATTTATTGCACTCAACAAGTATTAATAGATAATACAGAAATGTAGGAAACATATGTGGACCCGGACACGGATATGTGTTGGGCACGACAAAATATATGTAGGCGAGAGGAAGACTTTATTCTTGTCTGTGCATAACTTGGGTAGCTTCAATCATGACAGGAATGTAAAGCATATTGTGCTATTCTTGAAACATATTTTGTTTATTAATTATTAATCAACGTGACTAGATTTACAGTTTTAGAATTTTATAATCTTCTGATTGCTAAAATATTAGATACCTCAAATAAACGAAATATAAAGATATGCCAGTTTTGATTAAATAAAAAATTTCACACTTGCGTGTCGATGGATGAGCCAAGCTTAAAAAAAGCTTAAAGAAATGGGCGGATCGACTGAAGTTATACCACGGCCTCACAGAAAACTGGTGTGAAACAACCACAGAGTTGTTTGAGTGAGGATACTGGAGGCCCAATCTTTCTCCTTCCCGTGTCGCTCCTCAATAATTAAATCTCCGAAAAGCTTATCCCCGAAACGCCAGCAACGCACTTGTAACTGCTCTGGTGTCGCGCCACCCATGGACACTCGTCCATGGGTGGCGCCGATTGGCTCAGGTAATCCGTCTGCTCGTTTGCCGTGATACACATATAAAAAGTAACCAAAAAAATACACTGCTAGCATACGTTCTACATACGATGAAAAATTATGTTTTGCTTCCAGCGCCAAATCAGTAGCCCGCGGTATGATCGAAATGTACCAGAAGGGAGGACCAGCTTCTTCTTGGCTGGTACGAGCAGACCGACCAGCCCAGGACATCACTGCACAGCTGAATAAGGCAGATGAGGATATGGAAGCGATCATTAGAAAATTAGACTAGAATAGTACTTTTAAAAATTGTTATGCATTTTTTAGAGATTGTTATTTTGTTTTGTGTATCGAATCGCAAAATTGCCGACAAATACACATGTTGTAACAATAAAATATTGTTTATATAAGAACTACAAGTTATTATGATTAAATAAATAAATAATTAAAACTAAATTAATTAAATTTAATATCTGAAATGTAGGTATTTTGTGTATTGAGTATAAAAGTGGCAAAAACGCTAACGTCACGCGGTATTCCCAGGCGGTCACTCATCCAAGTACTAACCGCGCCCGATGTTGCTTAACTTCGGTGATCAGACGAGAACCGGTGCTTTCAACATGGTATGGACATTGGCGAAAAAAGAACTGAATTTATTTTTCACTATAGGTACTATTTTACTAGGTACTACTACTTCTTACACTTAAAAACCAGTCATAACTTCATAATTGAACGACCAGGGGGTTAGACAAAGTAACATCGCTTCGTAGCGAGATATCGTCATCGTCTCTGAGTTAACGATAAACGTTAATTTCTTAGCCCATGTAACGCTATGAATACATGGGCTAAGGAAATTCTTTGGCGAAACAAAGTTATTGGAAGTTCCTGACATTTTTGAAGAGCTATTCTTTACTCCAGATGAAATCTGAACTCTAGACGTGGATGCAGTCGGCTGGGTTGTTTCTTTGGAACAAGATGCAATCTCTTGTGTTACATAGTTATACATATATCTTGGGACTAGTTATCACTTGAGACTGAAAAATGTGGTGTGATTCGCGAACATCCGGTATAGCAGGAGATACTTCTGCTTGCGGTGTAATGTCAACCTCAGGTGTCGACGGTGTGCGATATAAAGCGGATGGTAAAGATTTGTTATCGTGAAATTCTTCTACAATGTTCTCAATTTCTGCGTCAGTTTCATCTTCGTCACCGTAAATAGCTGGTGTCAATATAGACGGTGACCCACAACGTTCGCTGCCACCAGAGTATTCCTAGGTATTCCTCTACATCTATTACGTTTGGTGGTGGTCTATTAGTTATTTCAAAGTAGAGCTTTTCTCAACTAATAGTCTCAAATGAGAACGGAACATTTATTCATGAGCAGTGCGCGGCGCGACTCGCTGCTGTGTCAACTCGTTTATTCTTACTAATAAAATTGGAAAATAACAATAGGTAACTCGCGGGTCTGAACCGATTTTAATTTCTTGACTGACACTGTCAGCAAAATTTTCGATACCTACCATAACCAATATTTTTATTTTTTAGCGAATAAAGAAATCGACACTACGACCGGGGTCATAGCATAACATGGGCTAAGAAATTAACGTTTATCGATATCTCAGAGACGATGACGATATCTCGCTACGAAGCGATGTTACTTTGTCTAACCCCCTGGTCGTTCAATTATGAAGTTATCTATATATATCTGAAAAATAGTACCTATAGTAAAAAATAAATTCACCTCGGCATTCGCCAACGTCCATACCATGTTGAATGCACCGGTTCTCGTCCGATCACCGAAGTTAAGCAACATCGGGCGCGGTTAGTACTTGGATGGGTGACCGCCTGGGAATACCGCGTGACGTTAGCTTTTTTGCCACTTTTATACTCAATACACAAAATACATTTCAGATATTAAATTTAATTAATTTCGTTTTAATTATTTATTATTTTCTTTATGGTTTTTAACCATCTGGTCCCATCCGGTCTCATCTGGGTCGTTCGATTATATGTATGTAGTTTTGACTGGTTTTTAGGGTAAGTCTCATAGTCTCATTACAACTTCATGTACGAAATACCTAAATGAAAAAGAGCCACCATTGAGTTTCTTATATTTCTTACTCATTCTTCACTTATCTACACTTTGGAACGAGTAAAATAACGCGTACGTACTTACCTAGGTGACTTTAGTCTTTGTTTGACGTTCAAATGTTCCTGTGATGGTCTTGTAAGTCTAGTTTAAATACATAAGTAAGTAGGTGACTGATTTGTTTTTGAGTTTGAATTTGAATCAAGTAGGTTACGGTACCGTAGTTGATTAGGTAAGTAAGTATCAAATAAGTAATGCACATCACATAATCACATTGAAAAAGCACCTCACTATCCTTTTCCAACTATACCTACGTATTAAGTAGGTGCACAAGATAAGTAGTGCTGACAGAAGAATGACCGGACAGGACCGGACTTTACTTACCTACCCAAAACAATTCTACTTACAATGGACCAATGTATTCCATGAAAGCGGAATTACTACGGGACTTAGTACCAATATAAATAAAAATAATAGTACCTACCTACCTACTTTATGGTACAAGTATGTAGCCGGGTGCTGCGGGAGCCAAGGACAGTAATCCTCAATACACACGTGTATCATTCGCCGTTTTTCAACACACTTTTCAATAAAATAATACTTAAATAATAAAAAACCAAAATAACTGCAAACGAGAAAACGAGATGAGTCTGTTGTGAAAAAAAAATGTTTCGTAATGGCGGGAAATATTAATTAGCTTTCCTATGCGCGCGCATCCGCCATAGACTAAAACATGAGGTTTCTCTTTCTATGCGTCTCGCGGATACCTAGCATTTTAGCGCAAGTGGGAGCACAGGGACTTATAATAATTGAGTATCCTACTTATCCTGAATGTCAATGAAAATATTTCTTTTTGTAACACACTGCCTCGTGCAATGGCTCTCATCGAATCTGTGACTTTTTCATTACTACGTACCTACCTATTATTTACAAATGACTAAAGGATTTTTTTTAATTATTACTACCTACCTATGACGCCCGGCTTAGCTCGGGAGTTGATACCTATTATCTTTAGATCTTCTTCTTCTTTCTAAAAGTAAAAAAAACATTAAGAAAACATTTTCTATATTTTCATTTTCTCATTATTTACACCACTTGTTTGTAAACAACATTTTTAATTTTATTGTCCGGGTATACATTATAAGTTTTTTGAACTTCCTACTCTTGAGCTAGATGGAATGTTGTCGACATTATAGTCCGCCGCAAAAATAGGTTTAATGTGCTGCAACTGCAGCATGCAGTAAAGGCGCGAAATTTAAAAACTTAAATACAATAAATGAAATTCAACTATTCGACAACAGGTGACGCCACTTTGAATGAATTTCAACTACTCGACAACAGATGGCGCTACTATACTTACTTTCCAAGTTGAAGGGTTCAAAAAGCCCTTATATCTTTAAAAACACACCCTTTAGGTTAAAACGGGAACCTTCTTGTTCCAAGAGGTTATAAAGCGTCATAAATGTCGGTACAGTTGAACTGTCAATGGTATCTAAGTCCTGTAAGTGTTCAATAATATGGAACACATTTTAAGGTAATACTTATGTCACTTGTCTATTGTTATTTAAAGTATAATAACATCCATAAATAGTTGAGAAATCAATCAGCATTGACCCGTGCGAAGCCGGTCCGGGTCGCTAGTCTTTACTACAGACAATTGCTGTCCTTTTCGTTTTGAGCATTGACGTTTCGTTTTATAAAAAAATATTCTTATGCTTATTCCGTGCCTAACCATTTACAAAATACTTTATATTTGCATTGTAAGCAATGAGCAGTGAACTGAAAATACTTATCAACTGTAGACTTCATGCATAATAATACGAATGGAAGAAGTTTGAGAATTAGAGTTAAATAAAGGTAAATACAGGGTGAAAAATTTAAAGTACATAATACGGAATCTAGTATAAGACTTCTATAATGTGTATATAGTTACTCGGGGGTGTGAAATAATGGTTCGACACACGATCAACAGTGAAATAATATATATTGAGACACTTGATACAGGTAAACTAATACACCAACTCACCACCGGCACCGGCGCGGGGTCTCACTCCCGTCCCGTCCCGTCCCGTCCCGTCCTGTTTCGCGCTTACGCTCTACGTAAGCGTCGAGCGGTCAGTGGCGTGGTAAGTACCTAGTGGAAAAGGGGTGTGGCGTTGCCTTTAACGCCACGCGCACGCGTCCGACACAAAACGTTGGGATGACGCGTTACACTAATTTAAAATTTGTCTGCAATTGATATTTTAGAAAATCGACAATAGGGCCGCGATATATCTAAAAACAAGTAGTTACAACAAATAATATCAATAAAATCGATAATATTGTACCTACCATTATTACAATTCAATTGTTTAGAGTAGGTAAACAAGTAAATACAACACACTAACGCCGTAATAAATAACCTAAAGAGGTTTTCATTCTTATCAAACCTTTTTATTCTGCAACATCATAGTTTTTTTTCCAAGTGTCATGTTCTACAATTCTGACATTTCGAATGCTTGGATACCATTGATTATTATTTATCTGTACTTAATATTTATAGTGACTTTGTCGGTAAACGTACAGTTTACCGAAATTTTGGTGGTTTGCGACACCTATAGCATAGGTAATTTATTATAAGCGTGATATAATTGAGTAGGTACTTTGAATGTCCCTATATTCTGACGCTGACCGCACGATAGGTAGTCATAATTTAATATTCATGGTGCACATTAATGTTCTAATAAAAAAAGGTGGTTCTAAAAATAAAATATGATAGCACAGTTCTAAAATAGTATAGTGAAGAGTAATTTCGGTTCGTCGCTTGCCAACGTCCATACCATGTTGAAAGCACCGGTTCTCGTCCGATCACCGAAGTTAAGCAACATCGGGCGCGGTTAGTACTTGGATGGGTGACCGCCTGGGAATACCGCGTGACGTTAGCTTTTTACAACTTTTATACTCAATAAAAAACATTTGTTTTTTTTTTGTTAATTTCATTTTTTATTTTTTATTATTACCTTTGTCGTTTCTGGTGTCTGTCATCTGGTCTCATTCTTGTCTACTAAATTGCGATAGTGATGTAAATCGACCACGTGACGAAGTGACGAAACGTGTCATAAGTCAATTCCGTACACAATGGATTTTATGCTAAGTTATATTACCTATGTAAAGAGTAGTGGAAAAATAGTACTTATAGTAAAGATTAATTTCGGCATGGCATCTGCCAACGTCCATACCATGTTGAAAGCACCGGTTCTCGTCCGATCACCGAAGTTAAGCAACATCGGGCGCGGTTAGTACTTGGATGGGTGACCGCCTGGGAATACCGCGTGACGCGTTAGCTTTTTGCTAATTTTTAAACTAAAATACATTTTTTTTTTCGTCATTCTTTATTCTAATCTTATCATTAGCAATAATTCTTTATCTAATTAGCAAATTTTATAAATTCTATACAAATGCGTAGATAAGCAGAACTTTCAGCGTTTGTCTTCGCCTCGATCGTGATCGTCAATAAAGAAACGAAACGAATGCTATAACCTGCTAAAACGTTGTACTTGTCGTTGACATTCTTTGATGACATACTCTTAGTTTTATTATGTGTTAGAGGCATTAGGCCAGTTAATAGTCCAGTCATTTTAGGCATTTTATACCCCAATCTGGGGAAAATTCCTAGTGAGCTGAATTTTTGTATACACCTTTATTACGGCGTTATTATGAAGTTGTGAAAAATCTACATCGATATCGTGTCGGCTAAAAAAATTACAGAGGTCAAAAGGTCACAAAAATCAGTTTTTTGCAAATATTTCGCGACCTTGCTCGGACGTCAATAGAGGTCATTATAAAAATTGTTCCTCATAAAATTGTCTACAAAAAATGTCTCTTATAGTTTTTCTGTAAATTTAACGGTTTTCGGATCATAGCGAAGGTCGTCCAGTTTGGCTAACATGCTGATATGCAAGCCAAACTGGACGACCTTCAGCTAGAGGCGACAAAGGTTGGCCTTAAAATCAACTCAAGGAAGACCCACGAGATGCGCACCGGGAAAAACCAACAGTCCCTCACTCTAGATATGGAGCCAATCCAGTGTCTACAACAGTTTGCTTACCTGGGAAGCATTGTGTCGAAGGAGGGAGGAGCGGAAGAGGACTCTGCCGCTAGAGTGACCAAAGCACGGGCGACCTATGCACAACTTCGACCCATATGGCGATCAAAGAAGCTGACTCGTAGAGTCAAGCTTAAAATCTTTTGATCTAACGTCAAGTCCGTCTTACTCTATGGGTGCGAAACGTGGAAGGTAACAAAGGATATCACTCACTCAATCCAGGCTCGACCGGAGTGATACCACGGCCTCACAGAATACCGGCGTGAAATAACCTCTGCGTTGTGTTTCGCCGTGTGAGTGAGGTTACCGGAGGCCCAATCCTTCCCCTTCCCCAAGCCCAATCCTTCCCCTTCCCCAATCCCTCCTCAATCCCTAAATCTCCAAATCCCTAATAGGTCGGCAACGCACTCGTAACTCCTCCGTTGCGAGTGTCCATGGGCGGCGCTGATTGCTTACCATCAGGTAATCCGTCTGCTCGTTTGCCGAGCTATTACATAAAAAAAAGGTCTTCGTCAACCGCTGCCTTCGGCAAATACTTGACATTTTCTGGCCAGAGAAGATCTCGAACGAACGCTTGTGGGAGGAGTGCCGGGAAATGCCAATGCATAAGCAAATTACACGCCGAACGTGGTCATGGATAGGGCACACTCTCAGGAGAGGTCCCACGCACATACCGAGACAAGCTCTAGAGTGGACACCACAAGGCAGGCGAAAAGTTGGCCGTCCTAAGCAAACGTGGCGGCGCATAGTGGCGGTGGAAATAAAGAGGATAGGACTGTCCTGGTCCGAAATTAAGCACATAGCCCAAGATAGGTCCAAATGGAAAAATACTGTGGAAGCCCTCTGCCCCACCTAGGGGATATAGGAACTTAAGTAGGTAAGTCATGCCGTCTTGTGTTATTACTACCAGTAAAAATGCGACTGGAATTACGAAAAAAGTGGATAAGATTACATTTCATCTGCAAGCATAGACTGTAATAGTATATTTAATTAATTATTGATTTTTTTTATCGATTTATTTTTCTATGAAAATGATGCGGCCATTTTGTGAGTGTTGTCATTCTTGGTGAAAATTTTACCCATTTATTTATTTGTTGTGGGTTATATTTTGGAGTCCATTATGGAGCCTACGTCATATTAGTTTTCCTGACAAAAAAATAAACACAGGGGACGGTTAGATTTATTTTGGAAACCATCTAGCCAGAGCATAGTTTGCTCAATTCACTTTGAAGAGATATATTTATGACAAAGGTGGTTTGAAAACAGCATAATCCTTCTAAGATATTATATCTATACTAATTATAATGCTAAAGAGTTTGTTTGTTTGTTTGCTAGAATGCGCTAATCTCAGGAACTAAGTAAAGTAAGTAGACTTCTAATCTTTAGTTCCGAGTCTAAAGACATATTAAAAAAACTAAACCAGCAAAAGGGAACGCAATAAAACCTTTGCACTTATTGAAGCTTTATTTTATTTGTTGTGTGTCGGCGGTGTAACTAAAATTAACACAGCCAGAAATCGTCAACTTTTACGATACCTCTATGAAATGTGTGAACAACTAGTCTGTTGCATTTATCGTAAGTTTACCTATTTTGTTGGGTTTACTCGTATCTTACCCTCCTGTTGTAAAATTACCCCAAACCAAGGGAATTGTTCCACTGTCGGCAACACTACGCGGGTGGGAAGTGCGGCTGGCGGGGGGATTGGCGTATTGTTTTTGGACACATTTGACGACATGTAATTATGAGTGAACGCGGATTCTGGTTTGTTCTGTATTCTGAGTAAATTGATAACAAATCACTGTTAACTTAAATATGTATTACATTCACTAAAATAACACTCAAGTGACACACGACACTCAAGAATCAGTCTCACACTTAGATACAGTCTTAAAATTGGGCAGTAAAAGAGGCAACATATTTAGGTAGATATTTAACGCAGTCATTACCTTCAGCTAAAATTTGGCTGTGTAGAAACAAACTTAAAATTACTTAGTAATTCAGCATGTTAGACTTTTGCTAGTATCCCTCTCGCGAAAATCTGAGATGCAGAATGTCCAAAACATACGTATCAAAAACCGCTGATTACTAATAGCAATAGGTACAAGACAATTTTGCTGAACTACGTGGTGTTTAGTGGTTCTGTGTTCTCCCTAGGTACTGTGATAATAGTCAAGCCAAGCATGAGCGACGTTTACCTACTAATGAGATATAAAACATAGATTCTATTCGTGCTCTCCAATGCTCGCAAATCTTGCTCGTGTTGTAGCCTAGCCGGGCTTCCTCGAGCTCCAGGTATCCTGAGAGAGAGCCAGCTGCGGCGGACGACGCTTGGTAGATGGAGAAATTGCAGACGCGCGGTTGGAAGGTGGCCGCCTTCGCCTCGAAGTAGTGGGCGCTGCCAGGGTTTGGCGGGGATCGGGCTGGCGGGGGTGGCCGTGGTACCGGGGCTGGTGTAGCTGGCGGTGTTGGCGTAACAGACTGTCGTCCTTGAACCGAAGTCTGAGTGGGCTCGAGCGGAAGGGGTGGTGGTGCTTGTTTATAATATGATGTGCAATGTTGGGTGACAGCATGATCTTGGGCGCCGTGATCACACTGTGCAATATCTATTGATTTCAGAAAAAAAAAAAATGGAGTGCAGTGGTAGAATAATTGAATTATCAATTAGGTACTGAGCGCCTTGAAGGTGTATAGTACCTACTTACAACATTACATACTAGCTCTTCTAGAGAGTCTTTCGCTAGCGAACCCAGTTAGTTAGCGAAAGACTCCGTCTATCCAAAACATTTGAGAACATTGCTAGTCAGCCCTTTTACCATCACACCAGTCTTCCAAAAATATTCATCAGATCCTTACTTTTTTCCATTTGTCGGTAATCTTGCTGACACCGCCACCAACAGCATTCAATATTTTGGTCAGTTCAGTCCACAGTCGTTCCGACCACACCCGACCTTGTGATCCAGCAAGAGGCCCCACCAAGTCACCGTGACTGTAACGTAAACAACAAACAATGATTCATTACAAGGTCTTCATTTTTAAGATCGCTTCATTTTTTATAGCCTATAATATGTATACTGCTCTGAGCAAAGGCCTCTTCTCACACGGAGAAGGTTTGAGCATTAATCACCATGCTTGCTCAAGACGGATTGCCGATTTCAAACTTATAATTAGAAATTATAGGTCTAGGTTTCCTCACGGAGTTTTCTTTCCTTCACCGTATGTCAGTGGTGTTTAGGCAGTCATATAAAGTACCTACATAGGTATAACTCGAAAAAAGTCACATTAGTACCTACTTGCCAGGTTTCGAACCCACACCCTCATGCATGAGAAGCAGGCTCTTTAATCTCTGGGCCGCCATAACATATCACACATTATCAACATACTAGTAAATAAAACTTGGATTTCCTTACCTAAGTTTCCATATACCTACTTAGGTAATCGAGCAACGTTGACAACAGTTGGGACTTGCTCGCACGCTTGTTTCCATGTTTTATCACTAAAATTATAATAAATTACTCCATCGTCGTTTGAATATCAGTCATTTATAAAGTTAGGTACCTAGGCTATTTTAAGAAGTAAAACTCACGTAAATAAGCTGAGAAAAGTAGAGCTTTTCTCAACTACTAGTCTCAAATCAGAAAGGAACATTTATTCATGAGCAGTGCGCGGCGCGACTCGCTGCTGTGTCAACTCGTTTATTCTTACTAATAAAATTGGAAAATAACAATAGGTAACTCGCGGGTCTGAACCGATTTGAATTTCTTGACTGACACTGTCAGCAAAATTTTCGATACCTACCATAACCAATATTTTTATTTTTTAGCGAATAAAGAAATCGACACTACGACCGGGGTCATAGCATAACATGGGCTAAGAAATTAACGTTTATCGATATCTCATAGACGATGACGATATCTCGCTACGAAGCGATGTTACTTTGTCTAACCCACTGGTCGTTCAATTATGAAGTTATCTATATAATATGTATATCTGAAAAATAGTACCTATAGTAAAAAATAAATTCAGCTCGGCATTCGCCAACGTCCATACCATGTTGAAAGCACCGGTTTTCGTCCGATCACCGAAGTTAAGCAACATCGGGCGCGGTTAGTACTTGGATGGGTGACCGCCTGGGAATACCGCGTGACGTTAGCTTTTTTGCCACTTTTATACTCAATACACAAAATACATTTCAGATATTAAATTTAATTAATTTCGTTTTAATTATTTATTATTTTCTTTATGGTTCTTAACCATCTGGTCCCATCTGGTCTCATCTGGGTCGTTCGATTATATGTATGTAGTTTTGACTGGTTTTTAGGGTAAGTCTCATAGTCTCATTACAACTTCATGTACGAAATGCCTAAATGAAAAAGAGCCACCATTGAGTTTCTTATATTTCTTACTCATTCTTCACTTATCTACACTTTGGAACGAGTAAAATAACGCGTACGTACTTACCTAGGTGACTTTAGTCTTTGTTTGACGTTCAAATGTTCCTGTGATGGTCTTGTAAGTCTAGTTTAAATACATAAGTAGGTGACTGATTTGTTTTTGAGTTTGAATTTGAATCAAGTAGGTTACGGTACCGTAGTTGATTAGGTAAGTAAGTATCAAATAAGTAATGCACATCACATAATCACATTGAAAAAGCACCTCACTATCCTTTTCCAACTATACCTACGTATTAAGTAGGTGCACAAGATAAGTAGTGCTGACAGAAGAATGACCGGACAGGACCGGACTTTACTTACCTACCCAAAACAATTCTACTTACAATGGACCAATGTATTCCATGAAAGCGGAATTACTACGGGACTTAGTACCAATATAAATAAAAATAATAGTACCTACCTACCTACTTTATGGTACAAGTATGTACCTAATGTAGGCGATTACCGCTGATACGCATTGAGGCACCCCAGCCCGAGCCGGGTGCTGCGGGAGCCAAGGACAGTAATCCTCAATACACACGTGTATCATTCGCCGTTTTTCAACACACTTTTCAATAAAATAATACTTAAATAATAAAAAACCAAAATAACTGCAAACGAGAAAACGAGATGAGTCTGTTGTGAAAAAAAAATGTTTCGTAATGGCGGGAAATATTAATCAGCTTTCCTATGCGCGCGCATCCGCCATAGACTAAAACATGAGGTTTCTCTTTTTAGGCGTCTCGCGGATACCTAGCATTTTAGCGCAAGTGGGAGCAAAGGGACTTATATAATTGAGTATCCTACCTAACCTGAATGTCAATGAAAATATTTCTTTTTGTAAGACATTACTACGTACCTACCTATTATTTACAAATGAGTAATAGATTTTTTTAAATTATTACTACCTACCTATGACGCCCGGCTTAGCTCGGGAGTTGATATTATCTTTAGATCTTCTTCTTCTTTCTAAAAGTAAAAAAAAAACATTAAGAAAACATTTTCTATATTTTCATTTTCTCATTATTTACACCACTTGTTTGTAAACAACATTTTTTATTTTATTGTCCGGGTATACATTATAAGTTTTTTGAACTTCCTACTCTTGAGCTAGATGGAATGTTGTCGACATTATAGTCCGCCGCAAAAATAGGTTTAATAGGTGCTGCAACTGCAGCATGCAGTAAAGGCGCGAAATTTAAAAACTTAAATACAATAAATGAAATTCAACTATTCGACAACAGGTGACGCCACTTTGAATGTATTTCAACTACTCGACAACAGATGGCGTTACTATACTTACTTTCCAAGTTGAAGGGTTCAAAAAGCCTTTATATCTTTAAAAACACACCCTTTAGGTTAAAACGGGAACCTTCTTGTTCCAAGGGGTTATAAAGCGTCATAAATATCGGTACAGTTGAACTGTCAATGGTATTTAAGCCCTGTAAGTGTTCAATAATATGGAACACATTTTAAGGTAATACTTATGTCACTCGTCTATTGTTATTTAAAGTATAATAACATCCATAAATAGTGGAGAAATTGACCCGTGCGAAGCCGGTCCGGGTCGCTAGTCTTTACTACAGACAATTGCTGTCCTTTACGTTTTGAGCATTGACGTTTCGTTTTATAAAAAATAATTCTTATACTTATTCCGTGCCTAACCATTTACAAAATACTTTATATTTGCATTGTAAGCAATGAGCAGTGAACTGAAAATACTTATCAACTGTAGACTTCATGCATAATAATACGAATGGAAGAAGTTTGAGAATTAGAGTTAAATAAAGGTAAATACAGGGTGAAAAATTTAAAGTACATAATACGGAATCTAGTATAAGCCTTCTATAATGTGTATATAGTTACTCGGGGGTGTGAAATAATGGTTCGACACACGATCAACAGTGAAATAATATATGTTGAGACACTTGATACAGGTAAACTAATACACCAACTCACCACCGGCACCGGCGCGGGGTCTCACTCCCATCCCGTCCCGTCCCGTCCCGTCCTGTTTCGCGCTTACGCTCTACGTAAGCACAGTATAAATATCATCACAGTATAAATATCATTATTACCTTGACGTAAGCGTCGAGCGGTCAGTGGCGTGGTAAGTACCTAGTGGAAAAGGGGTGTGGCGTTGCCTTTAACGCCACGCGCACGCGTCCGACACAAAACGTTGGGATGACGCGTTACACTAATTTAAAATTTGTCTGCAATTGATATTTTAGAAAATCGACAATAGGGCCGCGATATATCTAAAAACAAGTAGTTACAACAAATAATATCAATAAAATCGATAATATTGTACCTACCATTATTACAATTCAATTGTTTAGAGTAGGTAAACAAGTAAATACAACACACTAACGCCGTAATAAATAACCTAAAGAGGTTTTCATTCTTATCAAACCTTTTTATTCTGCAACATCATAGGTTTTTTTCCAAGTGTCATGTTCTACAATTCTGACATTTCGAATGCTTGGATACCATTGATTATTATTTATCTGTACATCAATGATGTATAAAACTATAGATACGTCGTCCGCGCTCTAAAATGACAACATGAAATGAAGGCAATTGACAACATCGCGCTTAGTTACGCACCAACCTGCCGCGCGACGCTACGTTTGTTTTTAATTTATATCGTGTGTGAAACCTGTGCGAAACATAAAGAAAGTATGTCGTTGTGTGTGTTCAGACGATGTACAAATTATACTCCAAAAGTTAAAGACAAAAATGTGTAATTTCATGCGTAAGTTCACCAAACAACCTATTTTTATTTTATTTTTTCCGACGCCGGCGCCCGCCATCTTATGGCGGCCGGCGAATGAAGGTATGGTCACGTGCCGTCGGCATAACTGAAGATGTATATTTATCTCCCTCTAGCAAAGGCATTCCACTACACGATGTCATATTTTCTTTCCCTTTCTTTACTCGTAGAAGTATTTATCTAGTATTTATCTAGTATTTTCGCCGTTTTTAAGCGCCGCGATGTTGGTTCATGACGTGTCTATATATAATACGTCATTGCTGTACATAATATTTATAGTGACTTTGTCGGTAAACGTACAGTTTACCGAAATTTTGGTGGTTTGCGACACCTATAGCATAGGTAATTAATTATAAGCGTGATATAATTGAGAAGGTACTTTGAATGTCCCTATATTCTGACGCTGACCGCACGATAGGTAGTCATAATTTAATATTCATGGTGCACATCAATGTTCTAATAAAAAAAGGTGGTTCTAAAAATAAAATACGATAGCACAGTTGTAAAATAGTATAGTGAAGAGTAATTTCGGTTCGTTGCTTGCCAACGTCCATACCATGTTGAAAGCACCGGTTCTCGTCCGATCACCGAAATTAAGCAACATCGGGCGCGGTTAGTACTAGGATGGGTGACCGCCTGGGAATACCGCGTGACGTTAGCTTTTTACAACTTTTATACTCAATAAAAAACATTTGTTTTTTTTTGTTAATTTCATTTTAATTTTTTATTATTATCTTTGTCGTTTCTGGTGTCTGTCATCTGGTCTCATTCTTGTCTACTAAATTGCGATAGTGATGTAAATCGACCACGTGACGAAGTGACGAAACGTGTCATAAGTCAATTCCGTACACAATGGATTTTATGTTATGTTAGAGATGATCATATGATATGATTTCGGCATTGCGTCTGCCAACGTCCATACCATGTTGAAAGCACCGATTCTCGTCCGATCACCGAAGTTAAGCAACATCGGGCGCGGTTAGTACTTGGATGGGTGACCGCCTGGGAATACCGCGTGACGTTAGCTTTTTGCTAATTTTTCATTTATTTTTAATTTTTTTCATTTTTTTTTCGTCATTCTTTATTCATCTGGTGTCCCATAAATTAGCAAATTTTAATCCTCATCGTGTTTAGTATTCTATACAAATGCGT